TTTGTTCTGAGAAGTTTGCATTAGAATGATGGTGTGCTTGTTAGCCTACACATGATGATAAAATTACAATGTAGTCAACATTCCAACAAGACGGGCATGTTTCTCGCGAGAGTAACTTACAATGAAACACGGAATGAACTGTTCACACCAATAATATCAAATCAAAATAAAGCGAAGCATTATATATATATATATATATATATATATAGTTATTATATTGTAAAGCTTGACAACAAAATTCAAAAGAAAAATTCATATTTACTTCTCATGGTCTCCAAAATTCATATTCTAAAATATAACTTTGAAAAAACCACAAATTAGAACCCTAGCTGTCTGTTTGGTGCCCTAGTAAACAAAGAAAAAAATCGAAATAGAGAAGGAAAAAAACAAATTTTAAACCTAACAGACTCTGGTACTTCAATATTCTCAAACACAGTAGAAAGATAACCTCAATTAAGATTATCCAGAGACTTCTAGATTCTCTGATTCAGGCTGAAAGTTAAATTTATATAATTTTAGCCCAAAATTTTATAGGAAGGCCAGAGAGCATTATATTGGTGGTTTAGGGAAAAACTGAAAGACAAGAGACAGAGAATATGACAAAGAACAAAAACCCTAATTTGGCAAACAGGAAGGCTTTGATTTAGGAACGAAACCACATGCTTGCAAAGAATAGTAGGAATTACAGAGAGAAAAGTGAGATTCGTATCTTTACATGTAGAAAATAAATCAATGAAAGGAAAATAAACTAGATTACCATGTGAGAGCTGACAGTGATGAACCAGAAGCTCGCAATAATGTTATGGCTTCGTAGGAACGACGCGACCACCGGAGGGAAGGAGGAAGAGAGAGAGAGTTGAAGACGACTTGAGCAGGGCCACTGTGGCCCACTAGGTTAGAGCCTCGTCAGAATTGAGGGCATAATAGACAATTAAGGTCTGGTTTCTGTAGTCTTTAGATGGAGAATTGACCGTTAGATTTGTATACTTCCTCTCGCATTATAGTAGAAACTGAAAAATGGGGGAAAGAAGGAAAAAGCGAAATACTTTTTTGGGGCTTGCCGACCACAAACAATTAAAAATGAAACGAAGAAAGACTTTGGGCTGGACAGGTAAACGCAAGTCAAATTTTTTTTTTTTTGGGTTCGAAAAACGCAAGTCAATCAGAAAACAAGGATTCTATGGTGGCGAAATTTTATAGCGAGGGCTTATACATGGTCTTTAGGTGAGGTCTTCTCTCTCTTAATCGTTGAATTGGGTTAACCAATTTTATCTAACGACTAACTAATTTAATCTAAGAGATATGGACTCACTTAATAGTTATATATTAGGCCTCATTACAAAATGACTTGATCAGAGAAATGGGGATTGTGGATTGGTTGGTCCAGTTCTTTCCCAACAGCCCTAGTGGCAAGCAAAGGCCCGTTTTGGTATTTACCAGTGGGTGTTAAAGGAATTCTAAAATTAACTGATTGCAACAGCTGAGCACCTTGTTTAAATATCACTAAATCAATATTTGAGCGCCTCTTTTTATTTTTGTTATAGGGGTAGAATTCAAACTGATCGCCTCTTTTAAATATCACTAAATCAAGAGCTAATTGGTGGATATATCATGTATATTTGTTATATAATACGTGGTTTCAATTACCATAATAACCTTTGTCTAAATAATAAAGCATGCTCTCCTCCCTGAAGCAATTTTACTGTGTAAACATCTTTAAGATTTTGTACAATACAATGTATGAGGCTAAATTCTTTACATCTGAACCTATAACAAAATGAGCACCTAAACTTCAATTTTCTCCTTCATTGGAACCAGTTCCAAGCTCTCATCATCTACAGCACTAACAGCAGAGTTTTTGGTCAAAAGATCAGAAGGAATCAACACATCAAATTGATCAGCCTTGGGAACCAAAAATATCAAAGCAAGTGTTGAAAACCTCAACACATTCCTAATGAGAATGGCCAGCCATAAGTTTGTTAAATCTGTCCTTGTGACATTCAAGGCATGAAGAACCACCCCTCCACCCCATTTAGAGGACAGTGAGCCAAGGCTGTCAATGCACATCAACAGAGCAAAAAATGTGCCTTCAATGCCTAGAGGGCAAAGCCTTGTGCTCAATACGATCATGGGCATCCATCGAATTCTGCTAACAATTCGAGAAACGCATTCTTCCATGATGACGAAGAAGTAGTCGGGAATGCCCAGAATTAAGTTCCACCTTAGGATGAATGTGAGATCGAGCACGCCTGATATGGCGTAGAGAAGTTGAGCAAAGAAGAGTAGGTTTCTAAAGGGGTAGTCTTTTAGAGTCTTGTGGTAGATCAGAACCCCTACTATTGAAGCCATTGCACCAACTGCATATATCATCCCAACAAACTCCTGCCCATGGATAAAGCCAATTAGTCTATGTGAAAGACATTTTGTCCTCGTATCAATAACATGTTGGTACGTTTTGTTATTCACGTGTCATGTTCTTTAACAAATAATATGTAAAGAGTGGGAAAGCTAGAGAGGGACCTGAGAGAAAGCAGGACCAGCTGTTGGGTCAGTGTACCAATAAAACTGGCCTTCATGAGTGCTAATGCTGAGAGTCAAAGATAGGTACATGTAAAGGGAAGGCTTCCACACCTGAGGACATTTGATTGTTTTGTACATGCCCCTTATTGCCACTCCTACTTCCTCTACTACCTGGACATGCACACATTTGTATTTAAACATATATAGATATTGTATGTGGAAATATTACTGGGGAGTTTTCATATATATACAGATATATATTTCCCTTAAAATATATTGACCCAACTCTGGTTGGTTGGTGAGAATCAATGGGGTCCTACAGGGGCTAAACTCACGCCACTGTATTTTGTAAATCAAAAGGCTAGGATTAAATTAATATATGAAAGAGCTAGGTCACCTTAGTTTGATGGTGACTATATATTAGGGGCGTGGTTCATAAAATATATATATGAACCATCAGGTGAGACCTTAGCGGAGTTTGTCGCAGGAAAAGATAGATAATGACAGGATGAGTTTTTATTTTGTTTTGTTTTATCCCAGGACCACTGGTTTTGCTGAAAGAGATAATAAAATAAAGCATAAAAGAGAAATGTGGAAAATTTATGGTTAAAAAAAAAAAGTGTAAATTTTCTAACCTTCTTTTTCTCATAACGAAGGCTGGTTGATCCTTCTTCATATATAACAAAGCCCAGTACAGTCAGAAAGACTGGGGGGATTGCCAAAAGACCCAATGCACCCTACAACAACAATGAGCAGCTTTCAATTCTTAGAATCCTTAATCCAAAATAAATTAAAACCCAAGATATAAAAATACTGAACAAATGGGGTCATGAGAAGATAAGACAGCACAATTCTGTTCCTTTAATTAGCTTATACTCTCGGCCTTTTGCTTTATATATATATATATATATATATATATATATGTCATAGATCCGTCCAGAATTTCTGGGGAAAATATTGCACGAATCTTTATTGGGAAAGTTCCAGATAAATATAACATAAAAACATGCCAACCATATGCACGAACCCATATAAGATATACAGTCAATTTGCATAATAAACTATACTGCACATATATCTGTAACACTAAATAAATACTATAATCTATATCAGTTTTTTTTGAAAAAAAAAGGTACCTGAGCACCAAGATGGTGAACAAAAAACCCACTTGTAGAGTACCCAACCAAAGCTCCGGCAGAGGAGCAGAACCCACAAAGGCTCTGCAAATCCGAGGCCAACGATCGGATCTCAATGCTATTCCTTGCAATACAAGCATCAATCGTCACGTCCGCAATCGCTACACTCGCCATGACACCAATCAAACAAGTCAAGGCCACAGCAGCAGCCAAGCTGTCACTTAGTGCAACCATGAGAGCTGAAATGATCCCTGTAAGTCCTGCTAGCACAAAATAGGGTCGTCTTCTATAGCCTTGAACTGGAAAAACGTCAGTCAATAAGCCCCAAATGGGCTTCATGATCCATGGGATGTAGTACAAGCCTATGTAGAGCTGCACAACTGAGGGTTGGACTTTCTGGACATCTTTCCAGTAGAAGTCTGCGACCACTCTGAAATAAGAGCCTGAAAATCCTTGGCTGAGGCCATAGACGGTGACCACACCCAAGACAAAAGTTGGGTTGAGTTCTGAAGAGAGCATTTGGAGCCATTGGAAGGGTTGCTGGATCATTTGAGCAAATGGGTTCGTGGAGTTTGAATGGCGATGATGATAATGATCATCATCTTTTTGGTCTGAAGTAGCTTGATCAATGATATTGGTTTCTTGAGAGGGATCCATGGAGAGCATGGATCTGGGGAAGTAGAGGAGGTAAAAGATTTGGAGGCTCAAAGAAGAAAAAGTCTAGGAGGGTCAGTTCCATCTTTTGTGTATTTTTAATGGTTTGTTAATTGATGACAGTTCATGAAGTATTAAAGAAAACGCAGGGTTGGAACTTGGATGGATTAATTCAATATAATATGTCTTAAGAATACAAGTAGGACTTTGTCAGTAAATGCAACTTAATGCTAAAATCTTCAGAGGCAATATTATATGAATAAACAGAGAGCTCAAAGACAACAGCATCTGCAAGCAAAGTACTTCAAACTAGTATAAAGACAGAAGCCAATATGTTCACATATAGTTAAATTGTTCATCTATCAATGAACATTTTGCAACAAATGCACCATAAGTAAGGATCGTTTTAACTTGTACCAAAAAACTTGGGCTAAGAATTAGAAAATAGGTTGATGGATTAAAAATTAGAATTTTATCGCATTTCAAACCATTTTAGCCAATTAGAATATAGGCTGAAATTGAATGGTGAGACAAATTGACAAAATATGGCTGCTAGACATGACTAGATTTGTATCAATGCAAATTATGATAAATATGAAAAAGAACAACTGAAACCAACAAGGAGTGCGTCCATTACCCCCCAAAACAAGAAAATAAAACTCTACTGATAAGACAGATATGTAAAAGCTATTAACTAAAACGCCATATACAGGGATTTCTACGTATGCTCCTCCATCCTCCCTTAACTGGGTGCCGCCGTGCATGTTGTGTAGCTCTTCTCCTCAAGCTGCCACCAGTTTCTGGATATCCCTCTGAAAAAAATTGTATAGACAACGAATCAGACCAACAAAACAGCAAGACTGAGAACAGTTACTCACATGACAGGATGGAGCTGGTAAAGAGGAAATACTCTTATATTTTCGGTTCAGATTATGATGCTCAAGTTGCAATGCTATTTCAACTCAGAGACACATTAAGCAGAAAATGCACACATCATTTCGATAGCTAATATTAAGTTTCAGAGCTGATTCAATCTTTTTGTTTGTTGCCTTTATAGCTATGTTACTAAACTAACCTCTTTGTTTTGGTCTGAATGATTTTTTTTTCAATCCAAAGAAAGCTGCAACAGCAGCACAGACTGCAAACTAAAAAGTTACAAGCAGCAAACTCAGCAAACAGGCTCAAAGAAACAACTACAAGAGAGTATCTCAGGAGATTTATAGGAACATTCCAATTAGCATCAGTGGTTAAACAAAACTATTAGCCTTTAACTTCGAATAGGCTTCATATTTTATCAAAACAAAAATGGAGCAGTTATTGGAAAGGGGAATTTTAAAACTATTTCACTTCATAAAAATAAGAGCATTAACTTTAGTCCTACTTGACCACCAAATCATCAAAAAGAGGGAGAATGGAAGTGAGAGTGGAGATGGGATTGGGAGGGAAGATGAGAGGAGAGGATGGGAGGGAGAAGTAACAAAAGTGAAAACAAAAACTAAAAACTGAAATCTATTTCAAATTGTTTTCACTTTTAAGATTTTGTTTTCATTTTTGTTACTCCTCCCTCTCATCCTCCCCTCTCATCCTCTCTCTCAATCTCATCCTCACTCCCATTCTCACTCTCATTTTCCTCTATACTCTAGCACGAAAAATGAAAACTAAAAACTAAAACTGAAATGGTTATCAAATGGGCCCTAAGGTTCTCCTTTTGTGAAGGCTTGTCACACACCTTACTAACTTATAGATGATCCAATCAATACCCAGGTATCATTGAATTTACAAATTATAAAACCGAATGAAACAAGGAAAAGCATACCTCAATTTGAAAAGGTGATGTTGTTGGTGGGTATCTCTCAACAACTTTACCATTCTTGTCCACCAAAAACTTCTCAAAATTCCACTTGACAAGGTCACCTAGAAAACCTCCTGCGCTTGATTTCAGAAACTGGTAAACCGGGGCTGTGCTGGGACCGTTGACATCAACCTGTTATGCACTTTTAGTACTTGAAACAGCCATTTCCATAAAAAAATATATGAAAAGAAAAAATAAAGTAATAGATGGAAGACATGTAGCTGAACCTCGCACCTTGTCAAAAATAGGGAATTCAGCTTTAAACCTTGTACAAGCAAACTGCTTGATTTCTGGGTTTGATCCAGGCTCTTGGCCCCCAAACTGATTGCAAGGGAAAGCTAGAATCTCAAATCCTACATACACAGCAACTATTACCACCTGACTCTAATGTTCACCCTGACCAACCAAAAAGAAGGTGACTTGTGGAACAAGAAAAAAGCACTGTCTTTATGGATGTAATTGGCAGGACTATCCAAAGGATTGCAGAATGTATAATTTCAATCTAATGCACATTTTTGTGGAGAAAAAACTATTATTGAAAAGAATCAATAGGAATTTCCCGAGATGAGCATACCTTGAGTTTTGTACTTTTCATACAAGTGTGACAGTTCTGAGTAATTTGAAGAAGTCAATCCACTGATATACAAACAAACATTTTTTATTAATTCACAAGCATCTCAAACCTCCACAGAGGCCTTTCGTAAAATTCAATTTGACAAATATATTACAAAAGTTCAGCTCAGAGACAAATATCCAAAGGGCTTCTCAATACCATTTTGAAGCCACGTTCACAATCAGAAGAACCTTCCCCTTGAATTTGCTAAGAGGAACATCCTTTCTGTCAATATCCTACATCAAAAAAAACTTATTGACTTCATAAATATCAAATTGATACCAATTTTTGTCATCCACAGAAAAAATTGAGCTACAAGTTTGGTTCTTTTCCCAGTCACATCCAAATGGTATTCTGCCTATTAAGGAAAAGGAGAAAAAAGTAAATTCTTTCAGGAACATATACGATATACCTTGACACTGAAATCATAAAGAGTTTTCTCTGTAGCTGCTCTTGCATAAACACCCAAAGACCGAGCTTTGAAGAAAACCCCATTAAAACTCGGTGATTTCAAAGAGAACCCGTTCTGGAAAATTGCTGATTTAGATGACCCAAGTGAAGATTTGACGGAGGGGGTCCAGAAAGCCATGGAAGGGCATGAAGCTGAAGAATTTGAGCTTCTTGTTGTTTTTGTTTGAGAATAACCGTGTAGAGGGGTTGAAAAAGTTGCAGAGAAAGGCATGGAAGCCATATTTGTCTGGTTGGGACTTGGAGCTCGGTTGGAAATTTGGAATTGGGAGTTGACGAGCTCTTCCAAATAAATAGCTGGTTGGGCTGAATGTTGATTATGTTGAAATCTCTGGACTCCGTATACAGAGAAGCTCTGTTGTGGAGGGTGTGCTCACACGTGGTTTCTTGTTTTTTTTTAATATTTATTTATTTAAAGATCAGGGTTAAGTTTGTGTTTTGTCTGCTTTTTTCTTGTTTGTTTAATAGGGCTTTACAATTAAGGTTTCGATCTCAATCTCGGGATATGCCTACCTTGTCAAACTTTTTGTATTCCAACAAACTTTAACGAGCCGGGAGAATATATGTCACGATAGATCTTTTTCAACGAAATTTTGTCAGGATTACGACAACAAACCATTTGTTAAAATCTATCTAAACTATTCGTAAAACCTAGAGGCGACTCTGAAATTTTAAAAACACTACGCAAAATGAGTAATGGAGCCTCTTAAAACAAAATCTTTAACAAAAGAATTAGAATTGGGACCATATATATTGAATCATTGATAGCAAATTTACAATTAAAACTCACCAAAAGCTAATCACATTAAATAAAAATCCTTTGATAATTACTTAATGAATTTTCTTGGATCAATAACTATACTATCCAAATTTAAACTATAATATTACATCCTTAATTATTTAAATTTGTCTTGGTCATATGAAGATGGACTTATTGATTTGGGAATTTTCTTCAATTATCATTTAGAAAAAAAGGGAGTGAAAACTCCAAGAATTTGAGATAGATAATTGAGCTTGATTCGTGAAACTTGCAAAAGAATGCTACATGCAGTGATGGAGCGAGGATTTCATGTGTGAGGGGCTAGGGATGGCAACAGGTCGAGTAGGAGCCTGGTATGACAATATCCATCCCCGCCCTCGTCCCTGAACCCATCCCCATTTAATATGTTTCGAGGAATCCCCGTCCATGTTCCAGTCGGGGGACTATCCCCTATACCCGCCTCGAATCCCTTATTTTTATTTTTTTTGCATAAAAAATATTTATCATACATTTTAACATTAAGTTTCATATTAAATTATCAGTCAACACATCCAAATTAACTATAAACTTCAACTCAACTGTTCAAAATCACATCAATATGAAATTCTATAAAAGATTAGGAAGAATTAGGATAGGGAGGTTAACTTAAGGTTAAACATAAATATTTTATTTATTTAATTAAATACAAACATATATATTTTTGGGTCGGGTTCAGGGATGGAGACGCCAATACCATCCCCTCCCCATACCCGTCGGGGATTTTTCAAGTTCGGGGATCCCCGTACCCAATACCCGTTTGGCCTTGAAATCTCCCTTCGATAGGGTCAGGGACCCGCCCTCACGGGAATTGTTGTCATCCCTATGAGGGGCCCTCTTACAAGAAAAATATATGTATATATATCAAATTAGAACTCACAATACATTCCAAAAGTAACTAAAAAGGCCAAAACATCATACATAATACATATGTGATGAACTCTTTACACTATTTTTCTTTTGGTAAGCTACAAATTAGTTGAAAGATCTATTGAACTCAATAGAGAATAATTCAAAATTCCCCAAATCCTATAGGCAAAGAGAAAACAATAAAAAATAAGAGAAAGATTAACAATCTTAATTAAGTGAGCCATCCCAATTGAAACTTGATAATTTGGAAAAAAAAAATAATAATTGATACTTGATAATATATTATATGGAGAATAAGAGAATAAATAGTCACAATTCTAGAGAAATTGGTGAAAATGACTCTTAGATTTAAAGGACTTGTGTAAAAAATAATAATATGTATACTAAATTTTTAGAGAATTGATCTAAAACATTAAAAAAATATGTAAACTTGAAGAAAAAACCATAAAAATATTTGAAGTATCATAAAAGATATTAATATACAATATTTTTTATATAAAAATAAGGGGGGCAGGCCCCGAGATCACACTGGTCCCTAAGTGGCTCCGCCCCTAACTACTAGCGTATGACAGTTGGGGGAAAAGAAAAATAAACTTGTATGCTATATAAGGGTTTGCCTATGTTATATATTACATTAATATATTATGTATGCAAAGTTTTTGTTTTTGTTTTTTTGAATGTGTAGAGTATGGAATATTTTTTGTGGGTCTGCAAAGTTAATGGCAAATTTTATGTAGTATATTTTATATTAGTATATTATACTAACCTCAATCTGATTATTATAAATTATAAAATAACTATAACCTCAATAGAATAACATTTAATACAACAATATAATATTTGTTGGGCCCTATGCTTGTGCTCACCTTGCACAACCCAAGAACCACCTCTAGTAAGATTTAAGGTCGAGTTACGTGAGTATCCAAGCATAATCAAGTCATAAGTGCCCTAGAATAGGCTTATGGTTAGAGTTTAATGCTTGAAAATGGATTTGAAACAAGTTCGGAAGGTAAGATTTTTGGTTCGACACTTGAATTTATGGTTTGGAAGGTAAAATCCGTTATTGGTACTTTTTTTTTTTTTTTTTTTTTTTTTTTTTTTTTTAAGTACGAGGATTTTTAAATAAATGAAACAATTTTAAAAATAATTTTGGAAAATTAAAAAAAATTAAAACTGCAAAATAATTCATTGCTATTTATTAAGGTAATTTATGAAATTAATTAAATTATTTCACTCAAGAAATAATAACTAAAAACTAATTATTTATTATATTAATTGAATAAGACTAAGATATTACTTATTTTAAAATATTAAGTAATTATCTATTTTGTCCCAAAGAAAAATAAATTCCACAAACAATTTAAAATAATTAATAATTAATAATTAAGTAAATTATAAAAGTAATTAAAATATTTAAATACGAATTATTCACTAAAATATAATAAAAAAAATATAATAATTAATTAAAGTAATTAAATAAGGCTAAAATATTATTTAGATGTTTAAATATGAATATATATATATATATATAATGAAAATGGATGCACGTTTCTTTCTATAAAGGGAAAGGAAAAGTTGGAAAGTAATTGCAATGACTCAATTACGGAAACACATCTGACCAAAATACGAAAGAAAAAAAACAAAATAAAGAAAGAAAGTTATTTTGGAATTTTTTTAATTTTACCAAGATGAGGTTTAAACCAAATAAAAGTTTTTTTAACCAAAGAAAGAAAGATATGCTTAACAAAATAAGAGTAGATTTTATTTTTCCTTTTGATTATTTTGTAAATAAATTTTTAAAAGTTTTTTAATTTTTAATTTTTACATATTTAAGTTCTGAATTATATATATTTTTTTCAGTCAGAAATTATATTACCTCGGTTCCTAAGCGTTTCAGGAAATTTAAGAGTTAAAACGACAACCGGAAGGTTTCTCTCAATTTTAATTTAAATAGGGCTTGCGTTTCTATCGTCTCTTCTCTTTGCAGCTGCTGCGAGGAGATTGCACGCCTACACATATAGAGAAAAAAAGAGAGAGAGAGAGAGAGAGAGAGAGAGAGAGAGAGCCTCTGTCTCTATCTGCAAGCACAACCTAACCCTATCCACGATACCAAACGCCCCTTTCTCTCTTTACCCAATCGGACGGCTGCAATCTCTTCCCCTTATCTATTCGGAAAAAATCAACGGGGCCAAGTTATGATGGCGGATCCGACGGTGATAAGCTTGAGACCTGGAGGCGCCGGTGGCCTCCGTGCCCCCAGATTCCTCGCATCCCGCTTTGATTCTTCTTCTTCAGAGGCTCAGGCTCTCCAGTCCCATGCCGGCCTCGCTCCAGCCTTCAAGGTCCCTCCTAACCCTAGCTCCAAACATATACAGATATGTATATTTGTATGTATGTATGTATGATTGCATAAGCTTATTAATGAATGTATTTGCTTGTTCTACAGATCTGGTTCTCTGGATGTATAGTTAGTTCAAAACAATATTTTTCTCATTTTTTTTCTTCTTTGAGTGGATATCGAGTTTTGTATTATATATATATTTGTTTGGAATGGCTTTGGTGTTTTATTATAAGGTTGTTGCCTGGACATATTGAGCGTAATTGCTAAAGAGTTTTACTTTTTCTGATAAATGAACGTTATCATTGTACAAATTGGATCTTCATTCACATTATTCCTTGAAATCCTCAAAAACCAAAACTTTGAGTTTCCTAGAAAAAGATTTGATCGTCCAAATATGGTGAATTTGATATTGGTAGATTTAAACGTCCTAATTCTTGGCAGGGCTCTCAAGAATGTGTACCAGCTGTAAATATGGACGAAAAGTTATATGTTGGATTTAGGTGGGCATGCAATGAGTCCGCAATGCCCATAAAGAACCGACATTACATGTTAAGCTTCTTAAATATAATTTTGGCTTCTGTCTGTTGATTGTGATTTTCTAATTGATACATGTGTTCTAATTTGATATGTCTTCATTTTTCAACACATATGATCTATTATGGTTGTATTTGTGTCTTAGCTTTCTAGGTTCAAGCTCTAATTTTGGTATGGTCGGTCATGCATGCCATCCTCACTCTTCGTTAATAACACATCTCCTTTTTTGTGTGGGCTTGCTTATTTATGTTTTGAGGTATATAGTTAATTTACTGATGATTACAACTTATATGTTTTTACTCTTTCAAATGTGTTCTTGTAATAGACTGGTGACTTGCGGTTTGAAGGTCGTGAGCGTGTTCGATATACTAGAGATCAACTTTTGCAGCTCAGGGAGGTACTTATCGTGATCAATTTTCTTAATAGCTTCTGTTGTTCTTTAATATGGTTATGAAGCACAAGCAAGAGAAGTAGAATATTTCTTAGTATGTATCTTTCCTGGAAAGTGTGGCTGATAGCGTTATATGATGATCTTACTTCTTGTATAGGCTACTACTATCCCTGAGGAAATTTTGAAGATTAAACAAGAAATAGATACTGAGTTTGTTATAGAGGATCCTACTTGGGGTCGTGCAGATGCCAATGTGAGTTTAATTACTATTCTCTTCTACGATGTAAATGTTTTATTTATCTGGACAGTAAACTCGTGAATATCAACTTTCACATTTACAACTGTTGAGTCCATGTGATTGGATTTTTTCAAATTCTTCTTTCATCCTATGATTCTATAGGTCATATATAATTTTCCTTTCTCTATATGTTTTAGGACTTCTAACATTGACTTCAATTTTATTTAGCTGCAACCTCAACCCCAAGCTCGTTATTCTGAGCCAGATAATCGCGATTGGCGCGGTCGATCTGCACAGTTGCCTGCTTCTGAGGAAGATAAAAAGGAATTGAATAACCAGCAAAATTCCCAGTTTGGAAGGGCGCAAATTTCTGGTAACCAAGTGGTAATAAGTTATTATCAGATTGTGTAAAGGATATACATGGTCTCTTGTCTCTTACGATTCTATGTTTATGCATGCTATACTACAGAGTAAATTTGTTTACTCTTCCTGATTCCTTGACCTGTGCAGTAAATACCACCAAAGAAGTTCTACTTAAGACATTATTTGTAATTCTAATTATTGGATATCGAGTACTTTGTGTTTCTAATTGTTTGATCATTGGTTCTTGATTTCTATACATACTCAATAAGGAATCATTGGCTGGTATGTTTAATTGTCTTATCAAAAGTCATTTTAGGATGCTTATGGTTGTTTGATGGGGTTCAAATGGCACCAATGTATGTTGGAAGATTTTATTTGTTTCAATAGTTCTTTTTTCTTATCCTAACCTTTTGCACAAAACCAGGTAGGGCCTGCTCCTGCCCTCGTTAAGGCAGAAGTTCCATGGTCAGTTCGAAGAGGAACTTTGTCTGACAAGGAACGTGTGTTGAAGACAGTGAAAGGGTAATTTGTTCTCTTCTACCTATGAGCTGAAAGATATGCCTTCATGATTTGTATTACATTTTAAAAAGATGCTTTCACGACCTTTTTCTTTTGTGCATCTGCTTGTTCTATCTGAGTATCTTACAAAAAGTGTTCTAATTTCTGTGCAGTATATTGAACAAATTGACCCCGGAGAAGTTTGATGTTCTCAAGGGTCAACTTATTGATTCTGGAATCACAACTCCAGATATTTTAAAGGTTTGTATTCACTAAATATCTTGAATACTTTGAACTCCATACTGAGCTATTGCTTTCTGGCTAAAGAGCTTTAGGGTTCAATTTGAATTGCAGGATGTTATCTTTCTGATATTTGATAAGGCTGTGCTGGAGCCAACATTTTGTCCTATGTATGCCCTTTTATGCTCAGATCTTAATGCAAAGCTTCCTCCTTTCCCATCTGAGGAGCCTGGTGGGAAAGAAATCACTTTTAAACGAGTCCTATTGAATAATTGTCAAGAAGCTTTTGAAGGTGCTGACAACCTGAGGGCAGAAATTAGGCAGATGACTGCTCCTGAGCAAGAAATGGAATGCAGAGATAAAGAACGAATGCTTAAGTTGCGAACTCTAGGAAACATACGCCTTATTGGAGAACTATTAAAGCAAAAGATGGTGCCTGAAAAGATTGTCCACCATATTGTTCAGGTCCTTGCTAGTGTTAATTCACTTTTTCTGGGTTGTCTTTTTATACAGGAGTTTGACTGCTGGACTAACTATGCACTCTTGTGTAACACAGGAGCTTCTGGGACATGATGGCAAAGCATGCCCTGCTGAGGAGAATGTGGAGGCAATATGCCAATTTTTCAACACCATAGGTAAGCAGCTGGATGAAAGCCAAAAATCTCGGAGAATCAATGATAGCTATTTTAGTAGGTTGAAGGAGCTGACTACAAACACTGAACTTGCACCACGGCTGAGGTTCATGGTCCGTGATGTTCTTGATTTGCGGTCTAACAACTGGGTCCCCAGGCGTGAAGAGGTGATTCTACATATCATGTCATTTCTCCTTTCTGTTTTAAGGGGGGTTAACCATAAAATGCATTGAGGTACATTATAGTTGGAACTTGTGTTTCTGACTTGTGTTTTTTTTCTTTTAAATTCTCTGTTCTGATAGGTTAAAGCAAAGACTATCAGTGAAATCCATTCAGAAGCCGAAAAGAATCTAGGGTTGCGTTCAGGTGCAACAGCAATGATGAGAAATGCTCGCAATGCTGGTTCCCATGGGGACTTGAGCCCCGGAGGGTTTCCTGTTACCAGGCCTATGCCCGGAATGCCAGGGACCAGGAAAATGCCAGGAATGCCTGGTCTTGATACTGACAATTGGGAGGTTTATCGATCCCGTTCAATGACCAAGCGTGATGGTTTGGGGCCCTCCCAGTCTGCCAGCCGTGTCCAGCCACCTTTGATCAGCAAAACACCTTCTCTTAATTCAAAATTTTTACCTCAAGGAAGTGGTGGCATAATAGCTGGGAAAACAAGTGCCTTGTTGCAGGGAGCTGGTGGTCCTCCTACCAGAACTAATTTGATTGCAGGAGTTGAACCTCTTACTCAAAACCCCAAACCTATAGTTCCAGCTGCATCTGCAATTCCTTTGGAGAAGCCTCTGGCTCCTGCAACTGTATCAGATTCTGCTAAGCCTCTGGCTCCTGCAACGGTGTCAAATTCTGCTGTTCTTCATAGGAAAACTGTATCTCTGCTGGAGGAATATTTCAGTGTTCGGATTCTCGATGAAGCACTTCAATGTGTGGAGGAGCTGAAAGCCCCGGCTTACCATCCAGAGGTTGTTAAGGAAGCTATTGCCGTTGCTCTGGAAAAGATCCCACCATGTGTGGAACCCGTTATAAAGCTTCTTGAGTTCTTGTTCAATAAAAAAGTTGTGACATCTGTTGATATAGGAACTGGGTGCCTTCTTTATGGGTCAATGTTGGATGATATCGGCATTGATTTGCCAAAGGCACCAACTAATTTTGGTGATGTTATTGGGAAGTTGGCTCTGGCAGGTGTGTTGGACTTCAAGGTTGTGACACAAATCCTGAAGAAGGTGGAAGATGACATGTTCCGGACAGCCATCTTTGGTGCTGCTAAGAAGAGCATTACGTCCAGCCCTTCTGGGCAAGAATTTTTGGCAAACCAGGAAACTGAGGTCCAGGCTTGTGAGACTTTGCTTTCCTGATTCATGCTAGTTTTAGTTATCAGAGGAAAGCTATCTGGCTTTTGGCTGCGGGGGGAAAGAGCAGTAGGCCTTATATTTTCCCCCATATTTTTGAAAGTTATTTAACGGAGGATAATTTTATTCAGTTGTATATTTTTCTTTTTGGGGATTTTAGTTTAGTTTTGATGAAGCTGAGAAACATGATGTCTTGTATTTTCTCTCGAGCCTGGGTTAAATTCTTCCCAGGAACAATCGAGATGAACAGGATCTTGCATGATCCTTTTGTTACATTAGTTTTGCAATCTTGTACTATTAATCTGGAATTTGTACTTGGCCGGTATGTGGTCTTAAATTTTCTCTATGGATATTGTTTATCACTTTGTCTTTTAGCTTTAATAAATCTTCACCTTATGTTTTGCTTTCATCTTCTTCCTTCGCTTTGGCGCGTAAACCCTTGGTGAGTTTTTGACATTGTACTTTGTAAAGTCCGTCTTTTTAATGGAGTTTCTAGTTTCTCTCAATTGAGATGGCTCTTGTGACCTGCAACTCCACTTGTCTCTCACCTTCGCATGATCTGCAAAGATGGAATAAAATTATAAAGGCTCAAGTGCTTAAGGGAAATGCAGAGCATGCAATTCAATCATACATAGACATGCAAAGACTTGGTTTCTGTGCTGATAACTACACATTTCCCATTTTGCTCAAAGCAGCAGGCAATGCTTCTTATTTGCGTATTGGGGTAACCCTCCACGGCCAGACTGTTAAAACTGGTTTCTGCGACCATCTTTTCGTCCAAACTGCTCTGCTGAAAATGTATTCGTCTCTCGGGCTCCTTGTTAATGCTCGTAAAGCGTTTGATAAAATGCCTGTGAGAGATGTGGTAGCCTGGAACTCCATGTTAGATGTGTATGCTTCTGGTGGCCAGATTGATAATGCAATCGAAATTTTCAATACAATGCCATTGCAGGACCTCTCATCCTTCAATATTATGATCTCAGGGTTTGCAGGCATGGGTAGCGTAACATCTGCCAGAAGTGTGTTTGATGGAATTCCTGAGAAAGACATCGTCTCATGGAACTCGATGATACTGGCATGCATGAACGCTGGAGATGTGGCTGAAGCACATACATTGTTTGGGGCAATGCCAGAAAGAAATGTCATAACTTGGAACACAATGATAATGGGTTATTTGAACAATCAACTTCCCACCAAAGCTATCGATCTCTTCTACAAAATGAAGGCTGGAAACACCAAACCTGATTATCTGACTGTGACTGGTGCTTTATCTGCCTGTGCTCACTTGGGTTCACTTGAAACAGGCATAGAGATACACACATATGCCAAAATGCTTGGGCAGGCCTCAAGTCCCCATGTAGTAACAGCACTGATAGATATGTATGCTAAGTGTGGAAGCATAGCGAGCTCCTTAGAGGTCTTTTATAAGTCCAAAGTTAAGGATATCTACTGTTGGAATGCCATACTTTCAGGTATTGCTCTTCATGGTTTTGGTTCGGCTGCTCTGAAACTCTTCGGCCAAATGAGAGAGAATCGTATAAAACCAGATGATATCACCTTCATTGCTTTGCTAAGTGCATGCAGTCATGCAGGGCTGGTGGAAGAAGGATGCCAGTTGTTTGCTTGCATGGGAAAGCAATTTGGGATCACTCCAAAGGCAGAGCATTATGGGTGCATGGTTGATCTTTTAAGCAAAGCCAGGTTTTTTGACTCTGCGCTGCAACTCATTGAGACGATGTCGTGTGAACCGGGCGAGTCGGTCTTGGGTGCCTTGCTTGGTGCTTGTGTCATTCATCAGGACCTTGAAAATGGGGAGAAAGCTATGAAGCTAATTATGGACAGGGCTTGTTCCTTGAGCGATGGTGAATATATGATGTTTGCTAACTTGTATGCATCCTGCGGTCAATGGGAGGAAGCACAAAGATGGAGAAATATGATGAATGATTCAGGCATTGTTAAAACTGCTGGCTGCAGTGAAATTCAGATCAATGGAAGGGTTCACAAGTTTTTGGCTGGAGAGATTGGCAGAGATTAAGTTTGCCCAAGTGACGCTTTTTATCTACCAAATTAAGCAAAGAGTTTTGATATACAAGCAATATTGAGAGAGGAGGAATTCGAATGTATGAATTACTGCTTTTAGCCACTTGAGCTATAAGCCCTTTACTTTTTGTAATTAAAACTGATCTAAGAAATCCAATACATATTCTAGAATAATTCTCTGTCTTGACTTGGGCATTGACTCAGATGAATGCAATACATCATCTGTCCTAGGGCCACACCAAATAACTTTGACCCATGCTTTTGAGTAACTTAGGTGCCACTGATGGCCCTTTTAGCCCATTAATATTTTACTATTTATAGGTGAATTCAAGTTCACTCAAAGACTACTAGCAGTGACTTCAGCCCAAATATTTCAGGACCACAAGATCCAATTTTGTGCCACCAGCTTTCAACAATATGGAATATATCTGTACCCACCACACCAGGTGGAGAGAGAGAGAGAGAGAGAGAGAGAGAGATCATGTACAACCTACCCCATAGCGGGGTTGCACTCATACCAATAGTAGGTGATTGATATACCCATATCTAATCACATGGTTGATGCCTTGGTGGCCATCATTTTGTTAGGAGACAAGTCAATTTTGCTTCTCCCAATCAACCAAAAGATACACCATATTTTTCAATTACTTCTGCACACAACTTTGAGGATTTGATTATCAACCTTTATTCTATACACCATATCCCTTTCAACAATTGTTTAATCAGATTGGGGTTCAATGTATTCTGGGGGGTTTGTCTTTCTTTTTTATTTTTGGTATTTTTTTTTCCTTTGACCTATAATTTTGAGCACATGAAATGAAGGGGCATGTTGCGGTTGCCCACTGGCTTGCCAGGGAATTTGTTTCCAAATCATATCTTCTCCAATATTGTTTCTGATGCACATTCAAAAGGTACGGTCACCGGCACAAAGTAGATCTTATCGTCTATAAACCAACTTTAACGAAATATTTTTAAAAAGTAAGAAACTTTAATTCCACTTTAAGAGCCCAACTTACCCATTATAGAAGGGAATGTTAATTGACGTTTAAATTACACATTGATAAAGTTCCTTTGCCTCTAAAAAATAAAAAATAAATCTTGAATTTGGACTCTTCACATTCTATTTTTATTTATTGTCAATTTATAAATTAAGATCATCAATTAGGTTAAATCACGTCTAAGAAAAATACGCCAGGAAACACAACACAAGCATGTATTGTAAACAAAACTTCAAATCAAAATAACTATTATAAGAAGAAAGAACTTGTACATTTAGATTGATGTCAATTAACAAAACGTATTCAACCAACCATCTCCTCAATCACAATGTCAAATAAGAGAATTAGCCCCCATTGCATTGATCAAAAACTAGCTAATCAAAACTAATTTAAAAAGTAAAAAAAAAAAACTAATTGAATTAGTTAAACCCAATTTCCACTAAACTTACCACAATTATCTTCTAGCTACTACTACCAGTCATTATTAATTTTTCTGAATCAACTACTTCCCTCAATCAATCTGCCTGCGCTTTTGCCACCGACACAAAGAAGCTCTTCGACCTCGAAAGAGCAGGTTGGCAACCCAATCCCTCTTTTTTCAACGAGTTCAAAGTCCGTCGCAAAAGTTGCTTCATCGCTGATATCAATTCCTCAGCAGACTTTGCCGGAGGGCTCGACAACCGAAACTCATCACAGAAACTGGCATGCCGTTTCATCGCCTCCTCATCACTGAGGCCCCTATGCGACCTTGAGTTCTCGTCCTTGATCGCCTCCGCACAAAGTCCGCAAATCCAAAAACCTTGATGTTGCTCCTTCACCGTAGCTATGTACTCCGGTGTGCATTCCTCCGTCAACCCGCAACAATAGCACTTCACTAACTCCTCTTCCACTGCCGATTGAGATGCGCTTGGACTCCTTGGCTGCGACACCTCCATAGTTGAAAATTATAGAGAGAGGAAAAAAAAACTTTGGGGGAAACGAAGAGTTTGGAATTAAATTTTTACCGTTTAATTTGTCTTAAACGCTAATTAACAACTGTGAAATTTGAAATTTGAATAAATTTTGATGTAATTGACGTTACGGAGACTCTGTATCGGTACGATTATCTCAGAACCTGATTTCTTTATCTCTGTTTTCTTTTTTGGTAATGAAATAAGTTTTTTGGGTGCTCTTATATAGAGCTCTTTCGAAGCCTAAACATGGAATTTTCGTGTTCTTTTGAAATTTGGATTTCCCAAATCCCTAATCATTGCCTTATTTGGGGCCACTGTGATTTTGTTTCCCTTTTTTCTTTTAGGTAAGTTTCAAACAAGTTTCTCTGCAATTTTTTTTTTGGGAAACTAGAATCTGATTGAACTTTGAAAAATACCAAATCTGTTAGGATACGTATGCATTCATGTTTTGAGCATGAGAACGGACAATTGTTTTCTGTTTTGATGCCAGCCAAAAAAATATAATAAAAACTCACTTTGTGGTGGCATGTAGGCTGTAGCCGCTCGCTAATTATATTCCCATTTTCTCTCTTCTTTTTTGGGTTTATTTATTTAATTTTTCACTTATTCACACTAGTTCAAAGTACAAACAACAAAGGTAAGGTAAATACATACCAAATCATATCTTCTCCAATCCAATATTGTGATGCACATTAAAAGCTATTGTCACCGGCACAAAGTAGATCTTATCGTCTATAAACTAACTTTAACGAAACAATTAAAAAAAAAGAAGTAAGAAACTCTAATTCCACTTTAAGAGCCCAACTTACCCATTATAGAAGGGAATGTTAAGCTACGTTTAAATTACACTTTGATAAAGTTCCTTTGCCTCTAAAAAATAAAACAGAAATGTTTAATTTGGACTCTTTACGGTCTGTTTTTATTTATTGTCCGCTTATAAATTAATACCATTAATTAGGTTAAATCATATCTAAATGTGCAGTCTTGATTCACAATTTGACGACACATTAGACGTGATATGTTTGAAACAAGTCATGACGCGTCTATGATAACAAATGGTAACAGGAAGAAGATTGGTGGGAATGGTAGACAGATGGTTTTAATGCCAACTGTTAGCAAACTTAGGTTGGTGGGGGTGGGGCTCTAGGAAAGTTTGAGACTTTGCTGGTTTGAGTTCTTCTTGTGGTGCCCTACTTCACTTTGAAGTTAGTCAACATCTACCTGCTTGTTTTCAGGCAAAACTACGGCCCGTCGCTGAAAGAAATGTTATATGCGTATTTAAGTGACACACTGACGTTGATATGATACCAAAACTCTACCTATGACTTGGATTTTATCTGCCCTACTCTTATTGAAGAAAATTTTGAGTGTTGCCCAAATTTTGTAAGGTTCGTACATCATCTGTTAACAAGGGCCATGCAAATTGCAGAGGGAGATGTTCTTGTTTCCCAACGTTTTTCTTACTTTGGCAACATTAAAATAGGGAAAGGAAGTCGTTTCGTTATCTAGGGATGAAGCTATCGGCTCCATCTAGCTCAGAAAATGCCTACAAATGGAGCATAAAGCGGGTGATTGGCAAATAACGAAATTATTCGTAAGTTTGGTGAATCTTTCTGCTGCCACCTGACTTAGAAATACCTACAAATGGAGCAAGCGCGAGTCTTTTTCATCTTTGTTTCATATCGTGGGTGGTAGATAGATAGGGAATCTAACAAGCGTACTAGTATTGTCTTCTGTGCCGACATGGGTAAAAAGCCAATTTTGAAACACATTGAAAACTCCAGCGCCCCTTCCAGATTGGGAAATAGGAAGCGAATTTTTTCCCCTTTTGTTTTTGCTTGCAGTTATTAATTGAATTTAAAAGAAAAAAAATGCTAAGTTTAGTTATACACGCGTCCAAGAGTTTTCGATTCATATACATGCGAATTTTACCAAATATCAACTCGTTTGAACGATCGAGTAATTGCGAATTTTGAACTCATATACATGTGGGTTTTGCAATGTATCAACTCGTGTGAGCAATCGAGGCCTAACATAATTCATGAGAAAATTAGAATGTATAGAAAAAAAATGTTAAAAAAAGAAAAGGAAAGAAATATTGAGTGAGGTGCGTCCGAGAGAGAGAGAGAGGAGGACCATCAACAGTGAGATCAACAGTGAGACCAGAGAATTACCCAAATTTCAAAAGATTTATCCGGTCTTCCAAAAGTCATATTTTTCTCTCTCTCCCGATGATTTGCTCTTTGACTCTCTCTCTTTCTCTCTTCTTGCTCTGTCATTCTTCTTTGAATTATTGATACTCTGCTCTCTTCCACATATTGCCCCTTTGTTTTTCTCTCAGATTCCGTGAAAACTCTGTTTGCCTGGCTCTTTTGTGAAACCTCTAAAAGACCCACTTCCCAAACCCCAATATCCATTCTTTCTGCTGTTTTCGATTCTGATCTTCATTTCTATACGGGCTTCCCAACCGGGCATGTGAAGGAGCCTCAAGTCTCTCAAGTGATTTTTTATTCACTCTTGCAACTTAGCATCTGGGTCTCTCTTGCTTTTGGTTAATATTGAATTCTTGATGATTCATTCCCTTTTGAATGTAAATTTGGTTTTGTTGAAATATGGGTCTTTCATATAAATTTGGTTTTCTCGTCTTCTCTAGGATGATCTTGATGTTTTCATAAATACCGAGTTGATCTTGATGATTGTTAGCACTATATCATGTATTAATCCTTTCTTTCAAGTCTAACTCTTGCTTAATTTTTGTGATTTTAGTACCCTAATCTGACTTTATTTTTTATAATTCGTGCTTCACCTGGAGAAAGCCCTCTTAAATTGTTCCTGAGTGAAGTGTAATACAGTGGGCATGAGTGTGATCAAATCGATCCAATCTTGTATACTGTGGAATTTGAGATGATAGCAGAGGTGAAGGAGTTGAGACTTGTGTGTGTGATTTACAGAAACTGACAAATAGCCTTATCTTTGTTTGACTGGTGATTTCTATCTATCTTCATAACCAAACAGTAAAAACTTTGAGTTTGTAGAAATCCCAGTGCGTTTTCTTACCTGCATTTTCTTAACTTTCATACAAGTTATCACCAAAACTCTGTTAGTTGTTGGATACATTAGTTTTTCAGCGTGGAATTGTGGGATCAATGTTTCTGATTGAACTTTTATTTAATTTCAGATTGGAATGGGTATATACCTCAGCACTCCCAAAACTGAAAAGTTCTCTGAAGATGGTGAGAATGGCCGGGTCAGATATGGTTTGTCATCAATGCAAGGATGGCGTGCCACCATGGAGGATGCCGTGAGTAAATAAAACCTTGCTCTTTCTATTAGAAGTTATTTTGAGAAAATAAGTACCTCTGTGTACATTTTTAGAACTTTACTCTTTTATGTTTTCCATTTTTGTTTAGCATGCTATCGTTAGGATTGAACTGAGTATGATATTACCTGACATGTTCAAATTGACTGCGTAATCTTAATTCCACTTGGGTTATTCTTATTTATTCTTTTAATTAGGACAGAGGTCGATTGTCTTTGGGCATGTGTTGGTGCAACTTTAGTCTTGGGTGCTACTCCTTGCTAGTAGCCTAGGAGTCTTCCCTGGTATGTTTATTGGGCTAGTCCTATTGGTGGTCTCGGGTTGTTTCAGTAGAGAAACAATCAGGACTATGGGAAGTAGTACAGTACAAAATGTTGTACACTTTGTAGTGTAGCAGAGAGAAGCTGCTATGATTATTTACTTTGTTTTTCAGAAAATTTTGTGACATCATTAATGCGCTGTTTGTTACTTTGTTGATTTGTTTTGTTAGCATGCAGCATATCCCGATCTTGATACATCCACCTCATTCTTTGGTGTTTATGATGGCCATGGAGGTAATAATGGGCAATTTCAAGTATCTGTGTTTGTAAATTGTACTAGAGGATCAATTTATATGAATGTAGTATTGATAATTTTTGTTACTGTACCATCATTCAGTTGATCTCTATCTCTGTCTACCTAGAAGAGTCATTGATTATACTCTTAGTTGTAAGCATATACTCATCACATTGATGAGGATGGGTAACCGATAACATGTAATCCTTTTTTGGTAAATACCACGAGGCGTCCCCACATTCGAAGGGTGGGATTAATCCCCGCTCGGGGTTCGGTTTGCCCCCTGGCCACAAAGTGCTTCCAATGGGTTTCGAACCCCTGCCATTGAGGCACTAGGTAGCTCGCCAGCTGGAGGTGGTAGTTTGCCAACCGCACCACACCTTGTGGTTAACATGTAACCCTTTTTAGTACAAGAATTAGTGCCTTCTTCTTGTAATGAAACCTACATATGCAGTTTGTGAAGTATATTAGCAATAATTTATATTTTTTGTATTATTATTTACCTATGTTCAATAATTCTTTAGGTAAGGTAGTTGCTAAATTCTGTGCGAAGTATCTTCACCGACAAGTGCTCAAGAATGAAGCTTATGCGGCTGGAGATATAGGAACTTCTGTTCAAAAAGCTTTTTTCAGGTTACACCTTTAATGTACTTAAATTCAGTTTCCTTCTACCGCTTTCTTAGTGTTGGGGATGAATACAAATGCATTTATTCATGCTATATTGTAAGCGATGTATCAATAGCCTTGTGTATTTGATTCATGAATCATACCCATAACAGTTCTGATTGATAATCCTTGTATTTTAGTATGTTGTACTATGTTATTGTCCACATATTTTCATGGTAAGTGTGTGAAAAGAGTGTTTTATTTATTTTTGACTGGTATCCCAAGTTTTGATATAATAATGAGAATGTTAACGATTTTAAGTAGTGACGTATTTAATTTTTAAACTAGTCTCAATATGTGTTGAGACTGCTGAAGAAAGATCTTACCACATTGTGTTGCTTTAATATTGGGCGATTTAAGATGGTTTATGCCTATTTTGTCCCGGATCGTCATGAGATCACAGATACTTGACATGGTAATACTTGTTCAAGCTGTAAATGTTAACAATAAAAAGAAATAGACTTTTATTGCGTACCTTTATACTTGTGGTCTTGTTATCCTTCATTGAGATTGAAGATGTTGTTAGTTGATTTATGCAGAATGGATGAAATGATGCGTGGACAAAGGGGCTGGAGAGAGTTAGCTGTTTTGGGAGATAAGATAAACAAGTTTACTGGCATGATAGAAGGGTTAATTTGGTCCCCAAGGAGCAGTGAGGGTAATGATCAAGCTGATGATTGGGCTTTTGAGGAGGTAGGTGCAGGAATCATAAAGTTGATTCGAGTTATTTATCTTTATCTGGAGCAGATACTGATCTGCTTGATATCACTTTATTGTATATTAATTTGAGTACTAGGATTCTTTGTGTAATTCAGAAATTAATCATTCAATAAATGCAATTTGTATGCTGGTAGGAGTACTTTCCCTCTGCTAATACCAACACAACTTTCTTTAACAGTGTTGATTTGGCAAGCGATAAGCAATTTGTTTCATTGGTTTCATAATGTCTATGCATTCCATAATTTAAACTCAAATATGTTTTCAGGGGCCTCACTCTGATTTTACTGGCCCAACTTCTGGGAGCACAGCCTGTGTTGCAATTCTTAGAAACAACCAACTTGTTGTTGCAAATGCTGGTGATTCTCGTTGTGTAATATCTCGGAAGGGTCAGGTAATTTATTGTTTTCCAATGATTTGCATGCTTGTTAGCTGATTAAATGTCGAAGCAAGACTTTGCTGCCCTTTCAATATTAAATGGTTCACAGTGATGAGCATTTGACTTAAATTCCAAGGCTATTTAAACATGTTAATCGCAAATATTTGTACATTTTTTATTCTCATTGATCATTGTTCTGATTTCACTTCTCTTTTTCAGGCATATAATTTGTCAAGAGATCACAAACCTGATCTTGAGCTTGAGAAGGAGAGGATTTTGAAAGCCGGTGGTTTTATCCATGCAGGACGAGTCAATGGCAGCTTGAATCTTGCAAGAGCTATAGGTAATTTCACTGCATGGGAATTATATATATATATTAGCTTGAATCTTGAAAAAGATACGAACATGCTTGCGCGTGCACACACACACACACACACACAAATCTTTTGGCATTGGTCTGCTACATTACGTGTATGCATGTTTGTGGAGGGGAGCTAAAGGGATAATATTTTGTAATTCCCATACTCATATTAGTTTTTTGCATGTACTGCAGGTGACATGGAATTCAAGCAGAACAAATTTTTGCCAGCTGAAAAGCAAATTGTAACTGCCTGTCCAGATATAAACACTGTATGTGTATATGTATATATATATATATATATATATACTTCATGGGTGGATAAAATGGTGGTTTTGGGGTTATCTAAATTTTCTAGTTTCACAAAATTGTTTTGGTACCTATTTTTTGTAAAATAAAAAAAAATCGACAAACAATTATTAGCTGTTAATTTTATCTTCCATTTTAATTATTATTATTATTTTGTAATTAGGTTGAGCTTTGTGATGATGACGAGTTTATCGTGCTAGCATGTGATGGCATCTGGTATGTGTCTTGAGCTTTACATTTTTTCTTTTTAGCTTTGATGACTTTCCTGTCTTATAAGGAGGCTTGCCTCATTTTCGCTTTGAAGACTCTGTCAGCCTTATTGATGGACTTTAGCCACTATATCATACCTACATCCAGAATTTAAAAATAATGGTTGATGACAAATAATTTATAAGTCTTGTAATATATTTATGTTATGGATGCTTATCGGAAATCTAAGTTAATGTTTTTGTTAATTTCTTACAGGGATTGCATGTCTAGCCAGCAAGTGGTTGATTATGTACATGAACAACTGGTCTCGGTGAGTGCATATTTCTCTCCCTTTTCTTTTGTGCTTTTGGTTTGAAATGAAGCACAGCAGTCTCGGAATGCAATTGAAGTTGTTCTTTATACACTGATTATGTTGCTTGATTGCGTCTCTTTGACACTCATCATTGTAAATCATGCAGGAAAGCAAGTTGTCTGTGGTGTGCGAGAGAGTCCTTGATAGGTGTTTGGCGCCAACGACTGCTGGTGGTGAGGGGTGTGATAACATGACCATGATCATAGTGCAGTTCGTGCAGTTAAAGAAGCCCCTGCAGTCAGCTGGATCTGCAGACGAGAGACCCTCACCAACCGAGGAAGCTGGAACTGGAAGTGATTCAAAGGCAGGTGAAAGTGAACCGAAGTAGTGGCTGCTGTGTGCCATGAAACTAGAAGGGATTGCATCACGTTTTACACTTTCAGAAGAGAATGGGTTCACAGATTTGTAATTGTAGATGGATATGGTTTAGCAGGAAAAATGAATGGATTAACAATTAGTTTAAAACTCGTTTTTTGTGCTCTTGAATGCTTTGTTTTACGTTTGGAAACGCAAAACTTGAATAGTATGTACAGATTATAACAAAGTACAGCCCAACTGTTTGAACAACAGCAGCGTATGCTATATAAATATTTGAGCTATTTACAAGTTCTATAATCAGCCTTCTGAACTTTTTGGTCATCAAAATGGCCTTGTAATTTGTAAAGGTTTTAATAAAAAAAAAAAAACCCGATGTACAAAGTATAGAGGTTATCTTTATTTACTGGATCTCTGTCTCTCTCTGTCGTATCAGTGGCTCGGTGAATCAAGATGGGTAATTACATAATTATTTCCAATAAAAGAAAGTCTGAAAAATTGGCAATTCAACATAAGGTGAAGGTTCGTAGGAGGGGACAGAAGATTAAAAATGAAAAATAACAAAGATAAGGGTATTTTGGTACTTTTAGTACTTTTGTTGGTTATCAAACACCACCGTCTCAAGGTCTTACTAGCTAGAAGCCTATAAACAGCAACCCATGAGTAAACAGCAGCCATTTTATCGAACTTGCCTTTTTCTGCAGCATCCTCTGTCTTTCTGTCTTCTCTCTCTCTCTCTCCCCCAAAAAGCCAAAGCCCTCCAAATTCCACTACATAGGAAAATAAGTCACTTTCTCCATCTAAAATGGCCCAGCTGGGCCAAAACTTATGGAGAGGAGGAGAAAAACAAAAGAGAAAGATGGCAAGGATAGATATGTCTTCAAATGTCCTCCAACTCCAACCACACCTCTTTCTCAAAGACCATATTTTTACTTCCCACAATTGCCCTTCTGTACATTCCATCTTCATCACTCATTACTTTGTATTCTTATCTCCGACCTTCATGGGCCTTTTCGGGTTCTCACAAATCGCAGAGTTTCAGACCCAAACAGATATGATCCAACTGGATACACAAAACCATCTCTCTCCATAATTGCTTTTTATTAATATTAATTATTATATTCCCTTCCCTCTCCCTCTCCCTTTCCCTCTCCTTGTCTCTCTAGAATCGCAAACCTTATCTCCTTTTTTGAGTTGGGTTTGCGTTTTCTTTGCTTAATCTCCACGGTTTTAGCTTTATTTTTCCCCAATGGAGTTTGATTTTTGACAAGATTATGAGAGGGTAATTTTTGGGTCCCTAAAATATCCTAATTTTATTTCCTAATTGGATGCGGATTTCTATTTTCTTTGCTATATAGCAGAGTTTAATGGTCAAAGATTCCACATTTGAGAAGGAGATGAAAAGGGGTTCACTGGATTTTGATCACTTTTCTCTCTGGAGTCTTGTTGGGTATGGTGCTTAATTTGCAATTTTGATGCTGGGATGCAATTCTGAAGAGAGAGATGAAAAGGGTTGCTGTTAATTCTCATAAATCTCAGCCTGTTGATGAGGAAGCTAGGCTTAATTTTAGACATGAAAGTCTTCTGCAAGATTACCTTGAACGACAAAAGGTTAGTTTTTGTTTGACTTTTGTTTTGTATTCTCTTACTGATTTTGATATCTAGGTGTGGATTTCTCTGGTCTAATCATGTTTTTATAATTCTTATCGAAATCCTGTTATGATGTTTAGTGTTGATTCTAGTTTAGCTTTCTCTGATTATAATGGTAGTTTGACTAGTTTGTCATTGAGAATGATTCTGAATCGACATAAACTTGTTATCTGAAATCCCCAATCGTGAATCAAAGTCAAATACTTATTTATTATTATCACTACTTTTTTTTAACGTACAAACATGATTTAGGAGTTGGGACCGAAAAGGAAAAACATAGACTTCTTCTTCTTTGTTACAATTTTGGCAGCAGTCCGTTGAACATTAGGTGGAAGAAACCAACTTTATTGGGTTTTGATTATATGAATAAGTATGATAACGGTTTCTTTTGTTTTGTGTTTTAAAAATAGGAATTTGTATCAAAGAAGAAGAAATTGCAAGCAGCAAGGCAGAAAAGAGACATCCTTTTAGGTGAAATTGGGTATGATCTTCGCTTTTATTTATTTATTATAAAGGTTTTGTGTATTACAATATTCTCTCTCAGAGAGTAGGAAAGTAAGAGAAGCTTGTAACCTAATTTGCTCCACTTCTGACCTTCAGATTTTTGAGACGAAGGCATAGGCATCTGCTGAAGATAAAATCAGCAGAGACTGAACCAGAAGTCCAACAACAGAAGTCTGACATACAACCTAAGAAGTTTTCGAGGAAAAGGAAAAGTGATGCAAATGAAGCTGTTCTAAATAAACCATCTCAAGTATCGCCAGAAGGAGGAGGTGAACAAATTGTTTCAGAGCCCATAAGAGTAGAGAAGAAGCCTAAAAATTGCCTAGTTGATGACAAAAAAGTCGGAAAGAAAAAAATTGCTTTGCAAGATCAGGTTGCTTTGAATGTTTAAATTCCAGGCCATGGAGAAAATACTCTGTTTTAGTGGGAGCCTCATTGTCATTGATAAAGATAAATATAATTCGTCTTTTTTTACTTGGTGTGTTCTTCATACTTTCCTTTTCAAAGAAAAATTTAAAAAATGTTTGTATGTCTGTGTCCAAGTTTTATTATGCTGTGTTCTTGATGTAATATTATGTGATAAGATCTCAATCAATATTGAGATGTGCACGTTGTTGAATGGGAATGTGCAAAGATAAGAAACCCTGTCTTTAGGGGCAGCACAAGCAAAACCCTTCCAATTAATCTTCACAAAACAATCTCAGAAAGACAAAAATATACTCAATATTCGACAGGTCATGTATGCATTAGCTCTCTATTTGACATAGCAGGTGGGGAAGGAAGAAGTAAAATATAGATACATCATTTACACTATATATGTAACAACAGAGACCTTACAGAGTATACAGGGGTATGATAATATCCCATGCATGTTAATTCCTTGTAGATACACATCTAGGCTCAGATAAGCAACATCAACGCCACAAAATTGGATTTTTATGCACTCAGTTATCACCAAAATCATTGACTGAGACTGCAGTGAAACATCCTGGAAAAAAGTTGAGTTCAGACAAACGTTCGACAGGAAAACCCCAAAACGCCAGAATTTGTATCAAAATTATGTTATTTCTGTAAAAACGTCTTTGGAAGAAAATTCTCAGTTGTGGTTATACAAAGGCTGAAAAAGAAGTATTACCCCACATACCTCAGATACCAAGATTTGTGTATATCTTGTAAGTCAAGTTTGATTGGGAAGCTGCGCAAATGTTCCTACATTGGGGCTGCAGCCCCCGACCATCATGTTCTTGTAAACTGCATAAGCATGATCTGGATTTCCAGATGTGCTATACAGTCGAATGAGGGCATTGTAGGTAAACACATCAGGTTCAAGACCTACAAGCTGTAGTTCTTCATAAATCCTCCCTGCTTGCTCCACCATTCCAACAAGTCCAAGATTGAGTATTAATGAATTGTACGTGAAAAGATCAGGAGCAATTCCTCTAGTCCGCATTTCATCATAAACAGAGAGAGCTTCCTCTACCCTCCGCGATCTTCCGAGTCCATTTATCATAAGGTTGTAAGAAACTGAGTCAGGATCAAGGCCACTTTGTTTTATCTCCTCAAAATATTGCAGAGCATCATCCACTCGCCCTGCCTGGCACAGGCAATCCACAAGAATGGTGTAAGACTTCAGGTCTGGTCTTATTCCTTCTCTAGTCATCCTTTTAAACAACTCGCAAGCAGCTTCCACATCACCTGTTTTTGCAAAACCATTTATGAGAATATTAAAAATAGCAGAATTAGGCTTGCATCCATAGTCTGCCATCTCCTCAAAGAAATGCATTGCTTCCTCTAGTCTTCCCGACTTGAAAAGTCCATCTATGAGAGGGCCATATGTACAAGGAGAAGGAGAGAAATCACCACTTACAAGATCATAATATAAATCTATAGCCCTCTCAATACTGTCAGATTTCACAAGACTGGAGATGACTATATTGTGGGTTATGGTGTTAGGTTTGCATCCCCTACAATTCATCTCCTCGTACAATTCAAAGAGTTCAGTGATGTTCCCAGACTTCCCATAAGCATCAAGTAACAAATTGTAGGTGAATACATCAGGGGCACAACCAGAATTTTTCATCTCCATAAATAGATCCAAGGCTCTTTCAGTGACATGGTCTTTCAGAAGCCATTCAATCAAACAGTTATATGCTTCTAGTGTTGGCTTAATTCCGAGAGTTTTAGTAAATTTCTCAAATATATGGTGAGCATCAAAAGCTTTCCTACGTGTACACAAAAACCTAAGTAGAGGAATCAGTACAGAGTCATCCCGGCAAATCCTATCAGAGATTAACCTTTCAGCAAATAAAACGACTATGTCTATTTTAGCTTCAATCAAAATCCCTCCCATTAAATCTTCCCAAAAAGGTGCTTTAACCCCAACCTGATACATGAAGTCCTCAGCAATTTTTAAAGCATCCTCAACGCGCCCGTCCTTTACTACACCAGGCAGGAGAGTGCACACTGTTATATGATCAGGAAATAGTGATTTCTTCATCTGATGGAAGAACCAGAATGCATAATCAATTCTGCTTTCTCTGATTAGGCCATAAATTACAGTATTATAGGTCAAAACATCAGGTCTGCAATTCATTGTGGTCATTTTGCAAAGCATTTTCAATGCTAAAGTAACCTCATCGTTCTTGCATAGGCAGTTCAGGAGTGTGTTGAAAGTTATTGTGTTTGGAGGACACCCTTGTTTGGTCATATTCTCAAACATTTCAATGGCTTTTTGGACTTGGCCCTCTTTCCCTAGTGCAGCAAGTAATGTGTTGTAGGTCACAACTGTTGGAGTGAGCTTCATTTCCTTCATTCTGTAAAACATTTGCCATGCTTCATCTACTCGGTCAGCCTTGTAAAGAATGTCAATCAAAGAGTTAACAATAATTACGTCTGCTTCGCACCCATTTCTTTCCATCTCTGAAAGTAACTTGATGGCTTCATCTATTTGCCCCACCTTACTATAGCACTTCATCATCATGTTGTAAGTTACTGAATCTGGAGAAAGCCCACTATATTTTAGCTCATTATAAACATGTTGTGCTTCTTGAAGTCTACCCTCTTCAGCAAGACTGTACAAAGATGCATTACAAGCAACAATATTAGGAACAATGCCTCTAGCTTTCATCTTCTCAAAGGCCTCAATAGCTTTGCCAGATTTGCCACACTTTCCATAGTAGTCAATGAAAAGGATGTATGTGTAAGCAGTAGGTGGAACACCCAGACATTCCATACTGTTGAAAAGATTCAATGCCTCGTCCAACCTGCATAACCGCAGAAGTCCACAAAGTAATGTGTTGTAAGTATGAAGATTTGGCGAGACCCCTTGTTTCCTCATGATATCCAACATACTAAATGCTTCATCAACATTTCCAGCTTTGCATAAAGCATTGACAAGTATGGTGAAAGTAACCACCTCAGGAGCATAACCATCAGCTTCCATTTCATGCCAAAACTCTTTCACCGCATCCAAGTCTTTCCCATCACTAAACTTGTCCAGCAAAGTAATGTAGGTTACTTGGTCAGGTTTATGACCACTGGATTTCATTTTTGCAAACAATTCCTTGGCATTATCAAGTTTACCTGCAGTACAAAGAGCATCAATGAGAATGGTATAAGTGATAACATCGGGGCCACATCCCTCCTCATCCATTCTCTTGAAAATTTCATATGCCTCATCAATTTTCCCAGCCCTCCCAAGTGCTCTAATGCATATAGTAAAAGTATAAACATTAGGTCTCAGTCCTAAACTTTCCATCTCCTTTAGCAAGCCCATAACAGTTTTAACATCCCTTCTCTTTCCCAATGACACCATAAGTGCTGAGTAAGTCTTCAGGCTAGGCTTAATCCCTTCTGACACCACTCTTTCATAAACCTCCAAAGCCTCCCTACAATAGCCAGACTGAATAAGATTATAGATCAACCCATTGTATGAATACGCATTCAAGATAAACCCAGATTTTCGCATCTCTTCAAGGGCGGATGGCGCTTGTCGAATTCCACCTCTTATATCAAGACCCTTAAAGATAGTAAGGTAAGTGTCCAAATTCCTCTTTATGATCTGTTTTTGCATTACATCAAACACATAAGCCATATCCTCCACCCTCCTATGAACCCTCAAGATTTCAAGCATGTAATTGCAAGTTTCAGTGGTGTGAACAACACTAGGCAACTCAGCAAAGGACTTAAAGAATGAAAAAGCAGATTTTGGGTCTGCAATCGACTTCAAAACCCTCACAACTTCCTCAGAAGACACTGAAATTTTTGGCTTTTTCTTCGCCACCACTACCTCCTGTGACCTCTTTATCACAAACCCACAAAAACCCATCCGCTTTTTCCTTTTTTTTGTCAAGTTCACCAAAGACCTACATGGCCAAGCCTTTAACTCTCCGCAGTTTCTTTCTTTTAACGAACCAGTATGGCTTATTGCAAATATTCTATTGTCAGTAAAAGCAAGACTGTAATTGATACTACTACAGCACATGCTTGCAGAGCATACTATCAACAATGCCATACAGAATACTTTATGAGCTAAAGAATGAGAATAAATGAATAACTCACAGAAATCAAAGACGGATATGCATTTTGTTCGTTGAATTTCTTCTGAGAAAGCAAAATAAATGGGAAGGCTTGCACATGGGCATGTATGTGCTTTCCGCTGAGAGAGAGAGAGAGAGAGAGAGAGAGAGAGAGAGAGAGAGAGAGCAGAACGCTTGCTGCTATGGTAGAAGATGGAATCGGCTATGGTTCCATTGATGTTGGTCAATTTGGTACTCCAATGAAGTAAGCTGTAGTGTAATCATGTATGTGGGGGTGTAGTCGATGGGTGGTTTGGATATTTTGTTGTTTTGTTTGGCTCCAAATCCATTTTTTCCTTTCTTCTCTCAATAAAGAATTGTGAAGAAAGAGGAAACAAAATGAAAAAAACAATTTCGACCAAAAAAACACAAAAACAAATCAAATTTTCGAAATTAGATGGATATGATGTAATTGGTTCTTGTCCATTTATGATATATATTTTTTTCTAACTGGTCTAATAGAAGCAATATTAGGGTAACCTTATATTTACGAGTAAACGTTCTTAATTATTTTTATAATTAAATTTTATATTTATACATAAATGTTCGAAATCACCTTATGTTCTTAAAATTGAATTTTGTATTCATGAATAAACGTTCTTAACTATTTTTAACTTCTATTAACTTTTTATTTTCAAAATTCTCACTCCTGATTTTTTTTTCTTAGCACCGAAAAAAGATTTCCTCATTTTGTGTCAATGTATCAAAAGCCCCAAAAATAAAAAAATGAAGGGAAAAAGTTAAACATTAAAAACTCTCCATCTTGTGGCTCGAAAATCGCATTATTTCCTAAACTGCCGCCATAATAAGCCTGGTTCCAAATCCAAGCCCTAGCCCCCTGAAAACAAGAGAGAGACTTTTACTGCCTCTTTCTCCTCCTGATTCAGAATATTCGCTGTCTAATTTGTCAGTGTCACACCCTTGAGATTTTCTCCAGTTCTCTGCCACAGTCTCACAGAGAGAGAAGAGAGATAGAGCCAGAGAACAATGGAAGGAAGCTCGATAGTTCCAGATTCAGTGATGGAATCAGTGAAGAGAACCTTGAGTCATGTAGAAGAAGTTGGACTTCACTTCCACCAATTCTTGTCTCTCTCCGACCCTGACGTCCTCGCCGAAACGCCGCCTCTCGAGCGAGCTCAGTCCCTGCTCTTGCTCGCCAGGGCCACTACCACCCTGTTCACCGGTATGTCTTTGGTTTCATTTGCCCAATTTTCATTTAGTTCCAATTTAATTGTTAGTTTTCATGTCGTTCTTTGTTAGCCAATTTGATTTTAGTTGAAATACTTTTGTTATTTTTTTGTTTTCCAGTGAGGTTGAGGTGTAGTGGAGTAGACCCGGATGACCATCCCGTCAAATCCGAGCTTGTAGGTTTGCTTATATTTTGAATTTTTAGTCTAAATCTTGAAGTTGATCACTTTTTTTGTAGGGTGCAATTGTAGCTCTGTTTTAAGTGCTCACTGCTTGTTTATGGGTTAATGCATGTTAGGGTCAATGAGCTCATAATTTTGAGATCACATGATTTGCTTAACTGTTTGTATCATAAAAAGCTGAATACTTTTTTTCCTTTTTATTTTATTGTCTCCATTTATGTAGGAGAGATTAAGAGTGTATCAGGAGAAGCTACAGCGGTTTGTGGATTTGAGTAAAGGTACACACTCTTATTTGGAAGTGCAATTATTGATGGACCGACTTCTAAACAAGTTATGCTAGGCACAGTCAACCACATGCCGTGGGCGACTGTGAGCAATTGGTTGGGGTGCTGCCATTCACACGTGTCGTGTGGATAACTGTGGTTAGCATTCTCCTTGTTGCCTGCGGGTGACTGCGAGCAATTGATTGAGGTGCTGCCATTTGTGCACATGTTGTGTGGGCGACTGTGCTTTGCATCTCCTTCTTGTTTGTGGGTGACTGAGCATTTGATGGAGGTTCTGCCATTTGCGCACGTGTCATGTGTGGGTGATGTGCTCAGCATTCCCCTTGTTTTCTCAAACAATGCTGCAACCGAGAAGGACACAACACATTGTTCTTCGCATTACATATATGATGGATAGCATGCTATGATGTTATGTGCTTTAGATATCAAATTGTTTGAAACTTTCCATTTTGTATTTACCATGATTCTTTGATTCCTGGGGTTTTATATTCTTACAGTTGACAATTTGATTTTGTTGAAGCACCATTGCGACCATCTACTACTTTAAATTATCAGGCAGCTACCCGTTTCATCGAGCATTCTTTGCCAGACCTTACACCTGGTAAGGTGTTCATTTACCCTTTATGTCAGGATTGTGAATTTTTCAACACCTTGATCTTATTCCACTCTGGGATTGCTTATTTGATTCAGATCAGAAGCGAAGTATGAGAGACATTAGTAGAGGAGAGGGGTCAAACATTAAGTATCTAGAAAGGAAGGTTCAAAAGAAGAGGAAATATCAATCCCCTAATAAACAATCAGTTCAATCTGCTGCCAATGAGTTCCTTGAGAAAGCAGCCCGTGAAATTCTTGGTGATAGTGGAGGTTGTAAGGGACCTCTACAGGCCAACAGTTCAGATGAAGAGGACGTGCCTATGAGTTGATTCCTGATTTTCCTGGTAAAGTTTTTTTTTCTTCACTCTTTTTTCAAGTTATGATTTAATTTCCTTCAATTGTTTCAGCTGTTTCAAGTTCATTATGGTCGTCTAGCTTTTAATTTTACAGAGTTCTGAAAAGTCTAGTCATTAGGTGCATGTGCCAGTGTTATCGTACATTCGTATAGCCTTGCTTGTTGTGCCACTAGTGTAAAATCTGTATATACATTGCTCAGTCAAAAAAGGAAAGACCAAGGATTTGGTACATCCTTAATTGTGACGAATAATTCAATATTCCAGTGTTGATGATTGAAATTGCCAATTATTATAGTTATCATAATCGGAATAACTTTATATGACAAGGTAAATATGTTATTGCTACCCTTCCATACCTAATCTTCTGATGATTATGATCCCTAGAATTTGGGAGGATTACAGATTACCATTTATTACCAATGTGAATGAATTGGAGAATTCAAAGCTGATCGAAATATCCTATCAATAGATACGCACACAAGCACACAAACACACATGTATCTTTATCTTAATTTTGAATTAGGAAAGGAATTAAGGCACAGATTTGGATCTACTTAAAATTCACCGAATCGTAATTTGAACAAACGGTTCACTGTTGATGTTGCTCACAGGTTGTTTTCGGTTAAGGCCTTTGTTGCTCATGGTACTTTTTCTTTTACTTGTCTGCTAACATGGAGTTGAGCATCCTCTCCTTTAGGTTGAAAGCATCGGATATGAGTTGTTGGGAACTTCTTATAAAAGATTTTAATCTTAATCCTTTTTTTCCTTTTTACCAATTTTCATCTTCTTTTGACTATTTTCTTTCTTGTTTTACTTTCACAGGATTGTTGAGACCAGACTCATCTTTAAAGTGATCCATCATCCGTCCTCTCTATGGTGCTTTAGAGTTTTCTTTTTTCACAGTGCAAGTTTTTGTTATTATTAGCCATTTGATAAGTAGAAATGCCGTCATAAGTTTACGTGAGGAATGTCTTAGCATCTTATTATGTCTTAAATGGGGAGATGCTGCTTGGTCTTGCAAGGGAAAGTCTTCGTCGCATGTTGGCCAACATAAATTTGGTAGTTCATCCATTCATGAGTTATGACTTTAAATTTTGGATGATGATGGAAGACTGAGACTGCAAATGCGGATGGTTTTGAATGTAGGATGTCCTTGAAAGAGAAATCTGTCGAGTAATCTTTTTGTTTCACCGAAGTGGAAGACTGATCAGATTCATTTGAATCCGTTGTTAATGAAAACAAAATTATGATATTACCCTTTTAACTTTACAAAATGGTAGGTAATGAATCTTTCATTATGATTTTAACTTTACGAAATTATGTTTCATTGGTGGGCTTATTGATTAGAATTTGATTCATTATTCTGAATGTGCCAATGAAGGTGTCCTTTCCTTTTTTTGGACAAATTAAAAAAAGGACACTTGATTTGAAACATGGCCAGGAAGAAAGAAAGAAAAGAACCTAGACATATTAAAGAGAAATGTTACCTTTTACATTATTTTATAATGTTTGAAATTTTTGGGGAAATTAAACTTTCGAATATTTTATTATCAGTTAAAAATTTAAAATTAGACATGGCCTAGCTAATTGGTAGTACAAACAAAATCTTTTGTGCAATTAGAAAATCAGAGAAATGAAAAAATATTTTAACAAACCCTTATTTTCCCCAAATATATTTTAACAAGTCCTTTGAAAAAGTAAAAGAAAATATTTTACGAAAGTTTCAGGCTTTACCGAGGGTCAAAGAAATCCATCCTATCCAAACCCAGAGACAGCGCGAGTGGAAGCGAACTACACCTCCCCCCCCCCTCTCCCATCTCCTATTCTTTGTTTGCTTCGCTTCTGTAAACAACTTCGCTTCTTTATCTTTCTCTCTCTATCTCTAAATGGCTTCGACCAGTGCTTTAAGCTCACGGCTTTCCAACTTTCGCCGACTCACTGACTCCGAAGACCATCTCTCTTTCCGTAAGCTCTCTCTCTCGTAACCCATTGGCTTAATAACAGCAGTTATCTGTATATTTTGTGTTTCTGTGTGTGCAGTATTTAACATGCCTCGAATTGAATCATTTAGAATGTATGGGTTTATTTTAACAAGATAGAACAGAAATTGGGTTCCTTTCTTTTGCCAATTTTAAGCCTTTTTTTCGCACGCACTGCAGAAAGAAGCATAGGTTTGATAGTATGAACAATTAAAGTTGGCATCTTTGACCATTATATTTGAATAATGGGCATTGAAATTTGGTGCCACTTAGCTGAGCTAGATTGTTTGGATGTTGTTATGCGTGCATAATGCATATTGCATTCTAGTGAGTTTTCTTTCATCTCAGCTTGTCTGCAAAATCTCGTACGTTTTTGTTCAATCTTTTAATCATTGTTTTTTATGCAATAATGTCTCCCCCTTTCCATCTCATCCTGTGGGGGTGGGATTGTTGTATGATTCTGACTATAAATCAAGCTTACTGCCTCTGCTGCTTTTAGGTGACGTACTAAATTCACGTCCAGCATGCCCTTCAATTGTATCTTGGCCTGGTGTTAAAACTAGGAGGCCTCCCCGGTCGTCCCGTGTGTATGGCTTATTTGGAGGGAAAAAGGATAACAATGAAAAGGGTGATGATGCAGCTTCAAAGGTTTAGCATTTTCCCTCTTCTATAGTTTGCTTTTCCATTTTTCTGGATCTCGTCTTGGGTAGACCCAGTTTGTACTGCTCATTACAATCTCTATGTACTGAATTGCTATACCAGTTAATCTTTCTCCTATTTTTTATTTCTGTCCTTTTATGTGTTTATACTTTCGTTGGTATGAAGGTGCTATTACCTATGCTAAGTCAATACAAATTCTACTAAAATTAAAGGGGATAGCTGGTTTTATATGCTTTATGTGGAGGCACTAGATGAATTTTATGTTTCATGCAGCCTTAGGCTGCGGGTGGTAACTCTTCCAATTTAAGCTAAGTAGCTTTATGCAGTGCTAGGCCCCCCAGATTTTAACATCATGATGTCAACTGTAATCTAGCTGAACATGCGTTTGCCATATTTCTTTTATTTGTGGATCCTTATCTTGGATCATTTGATGGGCAGCAGGATTTGTTCAGGATGAGGGCAATGGGCTGGATGTCAAATATTGTTGCTAGTCATAATTTTAGTCGAACTATAAGGTTGCTGTGTTGATAGTAGCATTATGTTATCATCAATGCAAGCTTCTTATCTGAAGTAATGATTACAGTGGCCAATAATGCCTCTTTTAGTAACAATGCAAGCTTGAGGTCAATAATAGGAAATTTGGATAATGATGGCCACATTAGTTTTACTAGAACACATTCTGGAGTTCTGTTTTTCTGTTAATAAATTTGTCCACAATGGAAGAGAATTTATATTCTTGAAAACATAATGTGTCTATGATGCCACATTATTTTTATTGCAGTCTCCTAAGTCTGTCTTAGCCAGCCTGGAGCTAGTCCAGCACTTGTAAGCGGAGAACCCTTGATTCAAATATTAAGTTAACCTTTCACTTTGATGCAGGCAGGAATATTCGGTAATATGCAAAATCTCTATGAAACAGTTAAAAAAGCTCAAAATGTAGTACAAGTTGAAGCAGTGCGTGTGCAGAAAGAGCTTGCTGCGTATGTTCCTAATGTTTAATCCAATTTAATCTGATACTCATAATTCTTTAAGTGGCTGGATTTTTTATCTCTTGTTCTTTCCTTCTGTTTTTCAGGGCAGAGTTTGATGGTTACTGTGAAGGTGAGATAATTAAGGTATGATTCACTCTCGCCACAAGGCCACCCTTTTATATTTGCTCAATTTGGGAATATAAGCTGGTTTGTAAACCTGAATGGTATTTTAACTTTTAAGTGGCACTGGCAGATTTTCACTTTCATAGTACCAGGATTACATTCGGAAACTATTTTTAAATTGATATCTCTCTTTTTCATAATTTCTCTTTTGTTTTAAGACAACTTTGAGTTCTTTCAATCCTTCTCTTCCCCTAGGTCCAGTTACGTACATACTCACTTGTCTCTGTTACTCAGATTTTACAAGCCATCTCTGATTTTTTTTCCTAGGTAACGCTTTCTGGTAACCAGCAACCTGTACGCACTGAGATAACTGAGGCTGCTATGGAACTAGGAGCAGAAGTAAGTGATGAACACCTTTTGTTTTCTTTTCCCATTTGCAAGAGTGAGTTTCTCTTTATTATATGTGACTTTTCCATTTTTTCTTAATGCAGAAACTCTCTCTTTTGGTCACCGAAGCGTACAAAGATGCACACCAAAAGAGCGTTGTGGTGAGAACTCAGCCATCCTCCTTTTTTAGGACTAATAATAAATACCTGGCTTCTTAACTTTGTGCCTGTTCTTTTCATCTTTTCAGGCTATGAAGGAGAGAATGAGCAACCTTGCCCAGAGTTTAGGAATGCCTCCAGGCCTCGGTGAATTGAAATAATGAGTAGAGTGAAGGATGTTGGCACATCTCGCTTGCCATTCGTATTTTGTAATCTCTGCTTAGAATCTCTGAAGTTTGAATTCATGGAAAAATCGTTCCTTGTTTTATAACAATAGATTCAAAAAAATTATTGAGACTGTTATTGTTTGAACTTGAAAACGCCTGCCATTTAAGAATCTATTGCGAGACTTGTATAGGAAATGAATATGTTGATATTAAGATAATTGAAATTGAATTGCACAATATCTCAGAACCCCTCTCATATATGAAAATAAGAATAAAGAATTAAACAAATCATTAACCCACCCCTAGAACCCAAAAAGTCTCATATCAAAACAAACCCAGAGCAAAAATCCCGAATGCCACAACCAGAAGACCACCCTGCAAGCTTGTAGCACTGCTAGTTGGAGCAACAGCCGGACCGTCAACCTCTGCCGGAGAAGGTGCTGGAGAGATACCATAGTGTTTTCTTGGGGTCATAACAACCACAATCACCTTCTGCCCCTTCTCACAGTGGCCCTTGGTTCCACTGATGAAATAGAATGGCCCTGGTTGGTCAAGATGAAGCTTGGTTTCACCATCCTTGTGCTGTTCAATTGGGTTTGAAACATTGCAGTTAGCGTAGTCTTCCTTGGTCACACGCAACACCGAGTCTTTAGCACTGTCATATTTCAACACTGAAACGAAGACAGAAAACATAGCATAAATTAGCAATGACCAAAACAACACAAAAAATGGGAAGGACTACCAGATGAGAACTGAAGATTGAAAAAGCTTGGGATTGAATTAAAATGGAGATTTACCAAGTGTGTCGCCGACCCGAAAACGGGTGCTTTCAGCCCATTTGTTGAGAGATTGGGATTCAGAGGATGGGATTGCCCATGAGCCTGTTTTGCCTCCAACCAATATCTCTCGGGCTTCTGAGAAGCTGAAGAGAAGAAATATGAGCAACAGAGAAGATGAAGATAGAGCTCTTGATGATGAAAAGCCAGCCATTGACACTTAAACAGAGAGCACTTAGACACTGAGGTGTCTTTGGGGGCTCTTGAGTTTGAGATCAAGTGAGCTAGCAAAGCAAAGAACAAAAGGAAAAGGCTTGATTGATTGAGGTTGGTTGAAGAAAGCCTTTCAGCATTCATGTATTTATAGTCTATAGGATACAACTGTGATTGGGGGAAGGAAAACTAGCCGTTGTGCTGCTCAGAGAAAAGGTTGATGTAACGTTAAAAAAAATAATGGCGATAGATGGCAGAAGAAAACGCTTTTCAACGGTCACAAAAGCATGGAAAGACGAGTACACCAGGTTGCAGAGTTTTGGGCCCATCACTATATTAAACGCTTCAACCCAACGTCGTTTCAAGGGTGGGTTGAATTGGGACAGTGGTTCTGCGCAGCCCAAACATTTATCCAATTTTTATTCTCAGCCCATAACATAGGAACTAGATATAAATAAAATAAAATAAAATTTTGGCTAGTTACAATTTACTCCTCTAAATAATTTAGTACCTCGGTTTGGAAAAAAAAATTTAATACCACGCAAGTTGACCCGGACCACTCATAGTATTTATCAAAATAAAATAAAATTAGTACCTCGGCAAATGACTTTGTAGGTCAAGTAATTAACAGAAATACTCGATCCACTTGAGGTTCTGTGTTCCATCCACATTTTTGCACTTGGTGTTTAAATGATGATGTAATAAATGTAGGCCCTTATTATTGCCGGCGTGGCTGCCAAATTTTTGCCACGTTGCATACCACGTATCCAGTGACTGAGTAACTCGAAACGTGTCAACAATATGCACCTCTTCTTCAAGCTTCAAGTTGAAATCTGCATGCAGACGTAGAAAGAAAGAGACAAGTTTTACCGTTCCACTGTCTCGGCCTTAAAATACCACCTCACAAATACATATATAAAGAGAGGTGATAACAGTACCATTTCTCACACCAGAAAAACCAGTACACCCGAACACACCCCAAACTTACTCTACACACCCATAACAATCTGCCAGCACATTCTGACAGCAAGGACAATGACTGATGATCAAACCGTTCATTCCATTTTAAAAATATATACCTAGAATTCTTTAGGTATTTTATGAGAATTCTAGATAATCTCTGATAAGTGTATATGCTGTCATACTGGAATTCAATGAGAAAGAGCCTTATCTTTTTTTCATCTCTTTAGTCTGCTTAAGTTTCTTCAATAGGGGAGAGAGAGAGAGGGTTGGAGAGAAAAATGCCGGACACACATAAAGTAAGTCCAGAGGATGTGAGGAGAGCAGGAGCGGAAGCAGGAAAGAGGGCTCCTGGCCTCCGGAGCAGCCTTAACTTTGGTGCAACTTCCTGCATGGCCATCACCGGCTTACTGTTTGCCGGCGCCATTGGCTACTATACCCTTTATGTCAACAAAAAGCCTGACCCCTCTGCACTAGATGTCGTTAGGGTCCGCCGTGACCTTGACGACCTTCGTCCCAGAAAGTCTCTTGTCAACAGCACCGACCCCGCCCCATGAAATAGCTTTCTATATTTATGGTGGTACTAGCCTAGCCTGTGTATGTTAAGTAATTATGCCCTAGGGCTTCTTTTCTTTTTCTTTTTTTAATTTCTGTTCCAAAATATTATGGCCTAGTTTGTAATTAATCTTTTATTTGTGTTGTGGACGTCTTTGTTTATAGTTTATGGTTCATACACACGTGAATATTTTGAATGCTTTTTCGTATTCAATTCATCGTCTCTACCTCTCGCATTTAGGTTTCGGATGATTTTCATGCTACCTTTTGTACTCTTTTAGGGTACTTCTATTTTATAGAGGTATTTAGGTTTCAGATGATTTTCTTGCTACCTTTCGTACTCTTTTAGGGTACTTCTATTTTATAGAGGCATTTGCTCCCAAAAAAAAAATTGTCAATGCATATGGTGGATGTTAATTGTAGCACTAATTTTAATAAGCCAACTTCTTTTTCCCACACCCCTATTTTTCTATCTTATTGTATGCAAGAAGGCAATATAAGAAATAAGAAAACTGAAGTGAGGAAGGGAATTAGCCCTTTCAAATCCAATATAAAAATCTAGTTGAACATCACAATTCACAAGTAAGAAAGGGAGGGGCTTGCAATTTTCAAACCAAACTCTGCTCAATTTGTGGAAAACGGTTCATGGAAATCCCACCCACCGTGAATATCAGATAAACAGAGTAGTAGACAAATAGAAATACGACATTGTGTTGTTGGGGTTGGTTGGAAAAGGCTTCAGCACAACGTCGTTTTTCAGGAGAGGGTTGGGTTGGGCTGGGCCTTCTATTCTATGCACCCCAAACACGTATACTTATTCTCAGCCCAAAAATATTTAAAACAAATTGTTGTTGTTATTTTCTTTTTCAAAGGGAGATTTTTATTGCACAAGCAACACGATGCTAAACTGGAGAGTTACACGAACCCACTAACCCACCACGTGTTGAGAGACAGAGCCTTCACTGGGGGCCTTGTAACTCAACACGTGTCGGCAATGCAATGCTCCTCCTCTTCTTCAAAGCTTAATTCAAAGTTGAAAACCACAGCGCATGTTTGGGTTCACCCTTTCAGCTAATTTATAGAAATTAATCAGGATTCACATCACATCGCATCACAGAGTGAGAGAGACCAAAACCTGCACACAGAGGCAGAGACAGAGACAGAGATGGCCGGGAATGAAGATTGGAGGAAAACGGCAGACACAACAAAAATGAGTGCGGAGGAAGTGAAGAGAGCTGGAGTGGAGGCATCAAAGAGGCCCCCTGGTCATAACCCTGGCGGTGTTCTTCACCAGCGACGCAAGCTTCCCTTTAGCCCTACCGCCATGGCCATTACCGGCTTCTTCATCACCGGCGTCATCGGATACTTCACCCTTTACCACCTCAAGAAGCCTGAAGCCTCCGCGGGAGATGTCGCCAGGGTCGCCACCAATGTCGCCGAGCCTGAGCATACTCACCCCAGGAAATAGTACTTTCATTTAATTATTTTGATTTTGATCAAACGGGGAAGAAGAAACTCCACTGGGCTTGGCAGGGGTTTTTCTTAAGTTTCTTGTAGCAGTAATATTCTTGTAGTAGTGTAAAATTTTCTGATTTGTGTTTGGTGTAGTTACCACAACATGTATTATAAATAAATAACTGATATATCATTAAGTGAATTAAAAAAAAAAAAAAAAAAAAAAAAAAAAAAAAAAAAACCTTTGGCCCCCCTCATGGAAATAGCACCATGAAAATCAGAAAATACAAATAGACGAGTAAGTAATAATAAGGTCCCTAAGTAACAATTGGTAACTCTTGAAAAATAAACAAATAGAAATATACTCTAACAGAAATATGATCATGTCGGCTTGTCATGGTTCAAAATTGAGCACAATAGGATACATTTTTGAAAAGCACAATCCAACTTTAAATTGCAAAATCTTACACTACTTGAGACATTTTTCTTGTTGCGTCTTCTAGGGGAGGAGAGATCACCGCTCGCAAGCTCCCCCGGGACCGAGTTTTTTAGTCAATTTTCACGGATGAGTAGATGAGCCTTGTGAACCAAAAGCAAGCATAAAAGCCGATGGTACCAGTGAGCACAAAGAATGCGTAAGAAGCAATAAGCATGTATCCGAAGTATAACATCCCTGAGACCAGCTTTGTGATTTCAAGCTTTGTGAAGAAGTAGAATGTGGCGTAGAGGAACAGGTACACCGCTGACGAGCCCGACGTCAGGTACGACCTCCACCACCACAAGTAATCCTCGCTGCACAACTGGAAGTAGCAGAGCACGATGGTTATCTCGGCACATGTGACGATGAGGATGATGAACACCAAGAAGAGGAAGCCAAAGATGTAGTAGAACTGGTTCAGCCATATTGAAGTGAGGATGAAGAACAGTTCAATGAAAACCGCTCCGAATGGGAGGATTCCTCCAATTAGAATCGAGAAAACTGGGTTCATGTACCAGGCCTGTTCTGGGATCTGCCTTGGGATTTTGTTCGTCTTCACAGGGTCCTCGAGTGCTGGCTTCCTGAACCCAACATAGCCTCCAACAAATACAAGTGGGACTGAGATCCCGAACCATAAAAAGACCAGGGCAAACATTGTTCCAAATGGGACAGCTCCGGATGATTTCTGGCCCCAAATCAGAGTGTTTAAGACAATGAAAATGGCAGAGACAACTGCTGGGAACATGACTGCGGTCCTGAAAGAAATTTTCTTCCATTCTGTCCCTTTAAACATCTTGTATAAGCGAGCAGAGGCATAACCGGCGAAAAGTCCCATGAAGACCCAAAGCAAGAGCATGGCTGTCATAAGACCACCTCGGTTAGACGGGGAGAGGAAGCCAAGGACAGCAAATATCATTGTCACAAGTATCATGCCAAAGAACTGAACGCCAGTTCCAACATATACACAGAGCAAGTCGGAGTTATTTGGAGCCCTGAAAACATCCCCATGGACAAGCTTCCATCCAGTCTCTTCTTGTGCTTCTTCCTGGGTCTCAAGTTCATTATACTTGGAAATGTCACGGTAGAGGGTTCTTAGCATTATCATTGCTACCATGCCAGAAAGGAAGAGGACAATCATCAATGAATTGACAATTGAGAACCAGTGGATTTGGTCGTCACTCATCAAAAGATAAGCATCCCATCTAGAAGCCCACTTTACATCACTTTCCTAAACGATAGACATGAAAAAACAGCTCATGAGAATACTAGCAAGTGACAATGCATGTACAATCACCATTGGCATCAGGGATATTCAGTTAAATGGAGGACATTAAGAATAAGAGTTACATTTTAAGTTAAGGAGCTCACCTGGAATTCTACATCATAAGTAAATACAATTTCTTGCTTCTCCGCAACTTCTTGAGGAGAGTTAGAATTGACAACAGTGTGTTTCGAATGGGGGTCACAGGTGGTTAAACGAGTCTTTGCATCATTCCATTTACCTTCATACTCGTGTTTAACACTGAAGACATTCAACAGCCACAGACATATCATCAATTGATACTTAAGAAGAAGATTCAGCAGGAAGGAATCATTTAGTGGAACAGGAAGAGCTGGAAAACTGACCTGAATGGTTTAACCTCAAATCCCACAATTCTTGCTGTTTCAGTTTGCGTATCTTTATGGTACTTGACAGTAAATGCCAAGTGGTTGTGGATAAAATACTTTTCTTCCTTGCTCTGAGAACAATAACGTTGAGTAAGCAAGAGAAAACCATAATAATACCCAAACAAAAAGTTATTTGGTGCCAATGAACCATGCATATACCCCAGCATAATGGCCTTTGAGCCCAACATGAAAGCCAAGCTGGTAAACAGTAGGAGCCCCCTGATCTGGCCTTTGAATGGGTACAACTAGGGGCAGATTATCAAGGATCCTATCACAGAAAAAAGACTTTCAATAAGAGATGCAACTTCCTCGCATGTATATTTTTAGTATAAATCATTTCAAGTGTCTGAAAAGTACATGTTCACACGATACTCATCATCTATTTTCTCTTTAAACTGCTTCACAGTTTTGGCATCAGGAGTAAACCGACAGACAATATTGCACATCTGAGGCTCCCTCATTTTAAACTGCACAGTATCCACAATAAGTTAAGGACCATAGGAGAAACAAGCAGCCTGAGAGTTATTCAAGTACAATAACACTAACCACATAGGGGGAGTTTTCAATACGGTCACCACGAAGTACTTCCCCAAGATTCTCGGCACTGTCCAAAATTTTGTCGGGTCGACAGTAAGGGAGAGAGTAAAATGAGTATGGAAGCTGAGTCTTTGTAGATGTCAGTTTGTTCACTTTCACTTTCAAATCATCTCCCTGCATTTACAGATCCACGAGGGCGAAATTAACTCAAATATCATAACATTGTCTAACAGAGTTTCCTCACCCTGACTCAAAGTCTTTTGCTTCTCAGTCAAGTGAAGTAAAACAACCACAAATGCCCAATCTAACTTATGAGAAATAATTCAAATTTCATAAACAGCATTGGTAATCCAGTGAAACCTAAATGACGAGCTCTTAGAGTACTTGCTTAAGGCCTATACAGATCGATAGCAGCTCGGACCTCCCGAGATCTGATGTGTTAGTTTCAGCCGCATATTACTCTCAAAATTACATTGTTCTACGCATTCAAGTAACGCTCAAACACAGCCTAAGCAAAATCTAAGAAAAATGGAGGGCAAAGAACTCACATCAAAACGTATAAATCTCAGAATTTTAACTACGATCAGGTCAGCTGCGCTACATCTAAGTTGAATTGATTAAATTGATTCAATATTCCAATAGTATCCAACTCAATTAACAAAAAGCTATTATCCGTTCATTTTCCTCCATTTTCTCGACGGCCAAACAGACGAAAAACCAACACTAGGTCACATGAATACAGATCCAAAAAGCGAAATCACAGATCACTCATTTCATATTTCATACACCGGCATATCCAATTTACACAAAACAAAAAGTGAAAGATAGATTTGTCGGTGATCGAGAGCTGACCTTGATGAAGTCCTCAGGAGCGACTCCGGGGAGGTAAAAGGACTGAGCGCCATGGATGAGCAGTAGAAAGATCGTCAGTGTACGGACTGCCTTGGATCTACGAGTCTCCATGGCCTCTGACTGAGAGAGGGAGAGAGAGCGAGCAGAAGGCTGTGTAGATCTGGAGGAAATGTTTATTGGTTGGTGTTTATAGTTCGCTTCGTATTTGTCTGTCGCGTTGCGTGAAAAGAAAAAACGACCCAACCCACCCAAAAAAAAAAAAAAAAAAAAAAAAAAAAAAAAAAAATTAATGTAGAAAAAAATATTAAAAAAAAAAAAGAAAAAAGAAGGAGAAGAGGAGAGCGTAGAGAGAAGAGGAGAGAGGGGGGGGGACTTGGAGTCTGTCCGGTGAGATCTGGTGCGGTGACGCTGTGAATGCTTGTTTTGATTGTGCCACGTTAGCCTTTCGCTGGATATTTCTGTGATTTACAAAAAGCAATTGTAGATTCGGCCCACAGAGTATAAAAGCCCAGCCTAGATTATTATCCAAGTTTGTCTTGACTGGATCTTTTTCCTTTTTGTACACAATTGCAATTTGCAACAGATCTCTTTCCTTTTACGTAACGACATGTCGTTTGCAATGTTTTTGTCAACTATATTGCATATCACGTAAAACAATTGCACATGCTATTTTAGTTCCCGCACCTTAAATTTTGATCTGAATCTTTACGAGGGCAAATAGATCAGTGGGATGAATCCAAGATTGACCACCATTTGCTGCACTACACAAATTCCCTTTTCTTTATATATAAGCGACATAGAGAAGTGGGATTCAAATCTAGGACCTCAGATATCGAGATAAATGCTCTTAATCACTTTGAGCTAGGAGAATCTTGATTCCGCAGATTCGTTTCCATCCCTCTTATCTTTTTTCTCTCTCTTTTTCATTTTTCCTATTTTTGGGTTTGTGTTAGCATTATGGGCCTGCCACATAGGGCAAGCCTGCAAGGATCAAAGTTTAGGCTTGGGCCTTTACATGGTGCTGAAATTTTCTTGGGGTTTCTGTGAAGAGGTAGGCTAGGCCCAAAATATAAGAAAACCTAACAAATGGAGGTTGCCTTGCCAGTGCCACCTTCTAGAAGGCCTTGTAGAATATTGATGAGACTTGGGTTACCAATACCATTGGCTCTGCGCAATGTCCTTTGTTCCCTTCATCAAGTCAAGGATTTTCTGTTCTGTGCATGAATAAGGCATCCACTTGAATAAAGTCCGGGAGGATAAGTATCGTTTAGTTGTCAATTTTCATAAGAGTAATGGCTTGAAGTGGACATCACCACACCATCTAACTTTGTACCAAAATAAGAAGAGGAATATTGCAAGTTACTCTCACTACTTGACGGAGGAGGGAGAGAAGGAGATAGCTAGAGAGAACCCCACTTGGTTTTGGTTTCTATTTTAAGATTTGCACAGCCTCGTAGAAAATTATAGAGAGATTCACTATTATACCCAATATGGGGACATAAATTATAAAAATATCTTATATGAAATAGACTTTATAAACACACCCAAAGCCCATTTACAACATAACAAAGAGGCTTTAACTTCTTATAAATTACAAAACTACCATAAATTTCTTAAAACAAGCTCAACCCCAAAATCTCATAAAAATACCCCAAACACTCAATAGGGCATTAAAGTAATTTAATAATCAATATTAAATTCAATAAGGCCAGTTGTCATTTTTTGGGGTTTTTTTGGGTTTGTTTATAGAAATTCAAAGGTGTAGGGTTTATCTATAATATTAGTGCTAAAAATGGGTATATCATTAAATATCTCAAAATTATATTGCATTAATTTTGAGGTTGAATTTTGTAGCTGTGGCTTTTTGGTGCTAGTTCCTACTTTCAATGGTGGGGTCGATCTTTCATTTTAAAGTGAATATATTAGCTTAGTAACATGCATAAGTGGTCCAGATCAATTGTGGAATTATGAAGTGAGTTGTAAATTCAAAAAATTTAAGTTCAATTCTGATGAGTTAAATAGTATTGAGATTTACTTAATACATGTGGTTTGTGATCAATTGCACTTACTAAGAATTTACGATTAGAGGCCGAGTTACGTGTGGATGTGAAGTGGCGTTAGCTTCAACCTAAAAACAAAAAAGAGAAGCAAAGTTTCATATTGAGTGGAATGCTTGTGGTGGAGTTAATTGTATTGTAGCGTGTGGACGTGAGGGAGGGAAAAAGAACAGAGGTTGATATGTGGGTAAGTAAATGTCGAGCTTTAAGAGCATAAAACCTGGACAGAATCTCTAATGTGTACCCAAATAGCACCAAAAAACCTAAAACGTGCAACTTATTCTTCAAACACACACGAAGGGGTTGGCCATAGAGGGTCACATTTGGTCCCCCACATCGGCTTTTTGCCAAGCAAAAGCACAACCCCCTCACTCACCCATCTCCTCCTACCCAATAAACCCATTGCTCATTTGGAATTGGGACCCAATACCCTCTCATCTTTCTTTCCAGTATCCATCATTAATTTATGATGGTAGGGGCTCACAGCTCACGCCTAATAATTTCCTCTTTAGAGTACACCCACGAGTTCACATAATTGACAAATATATGTCTTAAGAGTTTTGATATCATCAATTGTGTACGAGTTTAACCGTATGTAAAGTTTAAAAATCGCTATAGTCAATTGTTTATGAGTTGTTATAATCAATTGCTTATAAGTGTAAATGTTGATGTATGTAAAGTTCAAAATCCGCTACAATTAAATTGCATGAGTTGGGTTATGTTATAGTTATTGTTCACGAGTCTAACCGTTAACGTATGTAAAGCTTAAAATTCGCTACAATCAATTATTCATGAGTTGAGATCTGCTATCACAAGTCTCCCGTTGATATATATATATATATATGTATGTATCTCCCCCGGCCCACACTAGGTTTAGCAAACTAGATGACTCAACTAATAATTAATTCAATGGGTAAAGAGGTGAATTCAATAGGTTCCTTAAAGAATTGAAAAGGTTTTTATTTTGTAGAAACACATTAAAGGATAAAGATGCTTAAGTAGTTGAGGAGTGGTACAATGATGAAGCAGCAGCTGTAAAGATGTGAGAGAATTGGGGTCCTGCTGGTGATTCTGAAAGCTTCTCCTCCCTTGTCCAAGAAATTAAGCAAACATTTAAGGGGATTGATTACTATTGTACAACCTAAGGTCCCAAGCTCAGGCCCTATGGATGAAAAAGGGACCCTGTAGCTGAATAAAAATTGACCAATTTGACAGGGAACATGGCTCACCATGAAGCTTGAAGACGCCTATGTCTGACTTGCATATTTACCCCCCTCCCCTGACAGGGCAAATACTAGAATTTACAGTGTTTGTCTAATTGACTAAACGAGCAAGGCTGTAAAATAGTGCAAGTTAGGTAATTCAACTAATAAGTTTGACCCATTTTACCAGTTTTTGACTTGGAGAAAGTTTTACCAAATGACCATGAAATCTCTACATGTGTAAAACCTAATTTTAGTATTTATTGTGCCCTCGAGGTTCAGTGTTCGTCTATGTTCTTTCACAGTATCACTTGTACCTAGTTTCCAGCTGTTGGAATGGTCAAACAAAGATCCCACGACCCGGGTGTAGGAGATTCTGATTTGGAGTTTTGGGACATGTTATTATGATTTATGCATATATTTTGCCTAACCAATAATATTTTGATTATCTCATAAAAAAAACCTTATAGGATATTATGAATTGCGAGGTCTTTATCCAGAAGAAAAACCGTAGCGACCAGCAAGCCAGCCATTCCTATTCTTAGATTTGGGGGTCAAAAGTTCCTCATCTTAGCTACGCGTCAAACGGCAGGAACATCCACCCTCACATGGACCCCGCTATCACCCTCCATGATCCTTCCCCGGCGCGTAAAGCAAGATCTCCCGGGAAGGCAGACGACGGAGGGACAATAGAGGTCAAAAGTATAAAAGAGCAGGGGCAAAATAGTCCAGAAAAGGGTGGCGTGCTTTAACGGCATAAAAGCTTCTTAAAAGTCCTCTGAGCCACTCTGTAACACAGTCCCCTACTCTCTATACACACACACTAGACCCAAACACACTTTCTCTCTCTAACTTTCCCTCTCTCTCTGTGTCTCTCTGCTTTTTTCTTTTTTGTTATTATTTTCTTTCGCTGCAAAATTTAGCAGAGGAGGAGAGAGGAGGAGACAGCTGCGTCAGAGCCAAACCGATCAGATTATATATCGAACATCATCGAGTCATTGAGATTTGCGCCTTGGAAAATCACATAAAGAAACGAGAGGAAAATCTTTAGCGGATCAGGGGTGAATTAAAGTAAAGGCGGCGAGGATATATTATGAGCTTTGCAGACTGAGGGGGAGAGAGAGAGAGAGAGAGAGAAATAAAACAGAGCTCTTCATAAAATCCTCTGATGCAAAAATTACAACTTCCAAGCAATTCTCTCTCTTTTTGATTTTTTTCCTTTTGGGTTTTGGGTTTTAATTTATGGGCTATGAGTGATTTGGTTGAAATAGTTGTGGTTTCATCAATGTCATCATAAAGGCTTGAAATGAATGGGAACAAGAGCGCAAAGGTCGAGGCTTTGCTATAAGGCCAGGGCAGGGCTTGTGTCGGTCCAACGTTTCTGCTGGTTGCGTGATTTACAGAAAGAGAGAGAGTGGGGAGGAGTGAGAGAGTGAAAGGAAGAAGGAGAGGACCTCTAAAGAAGCGCCATTTTTGGTATTGGTATTTGGTTCTGTCCTCAAGAGCGACGAGGGGGGTTTGTCTCTGTTCAGCTGAGCTGAGCCTCAGGACCCGCCATTTTAGAGAGAGAAAGTTGGCATTGGCCGCAGCTTCATCAGACTCTGAAGAAACGGAGTCTACGTTTGTGGAGTAGCAGTACTTGTCTATAGGTTGTTTGTTACCGTAACTTCTGGTGGCTTAGAAGGTTATTTTGGGGTAAAAATGAAGTTTATGAAGTTGGGGTCCAAGCCTGATGCGTTTCAAGCTGATGGGAAGTCTATCAGGTAAATATGGCTTTTCAAGTTTTGTTTTGCCACAAGCCTTACTCAGTAGAGCCATTTAGTTTTTTTTATTTTTCTTTTATTTTCCTCTGCTTTCGATGCTTTGCGCTGAATAGGTTTCCCTTAGATTCTGAACTTGAGGTCTTCTTCCTCCCCCCATCCCTCTCCTCTTCCTCTTATTTATCAAAATTATTTTTCCCCTTAAAATTGTGAAATTGTTCTTTTTCGTTTCGCAATGCGTATATGTTTGAGGTCTTCTTTGTATAAGCATGCTCTGTTTTGTACATAAATGGTGAAATGCTTCCCTTGTTCATTTTTGTTTCCCAATGCATATATGTTTTGAGGTTTTCTTTGTATAAGTAAGCTCTGCTTTGTACATAAATGGTGAAATGCTTCCATTGCATGGTGAAGAAAGGGTGAAATTACTGTTAGGTGGTGATTTATATACCTCAATATACAGAAACAATGAAGGATTAACTGCCACCATACAAGAAAACACCCCCTTTTATTTTCTTGGATAAGATATACAAGAAACTTTTTAGGAGATAATAAATAAGAAAACAAAGCAAGAGATGAAGAAGGCACATGGGCGTTTTGTGTTGTTATTATCATTGTTTTTCTCTTTTTTCTTAAAGTATTGCAATTTTAATTGTCGAGAGTAGGGTAAAGGGAGTTGGGGGTATCGAAGGGTCTTTCAGGGGGTGGTCCAGCCTTGGAATGTCACTATTTTAGTTGAGTTTGTGGTCCAAATGTGGTAAAGTCATATGAGGTACCCAAGATCTGTAATCATCACTCTGGTGAAATCCAGCCTGTAAACGATGACATGGGTTCAACCAACCCTTTTTTTATTTTTATAAAAATCTTTAAACAAGCTCACTTGGTGATTATATCTCCAGTTGATTTAGTAGCATTTTATGTGAAATTTGTCTTCTGGTGCATCGTTTTTCCTTCATCTGATTAAATATGCAAATGACTGGAACTTTCTTAGGTCTTGCATGTGCCGGTTTCATAGATGCAAATTGTATTGTTAGGTTGAAAAGGAGTTAGATGCATTGGTGAATTAGATGGAATATTAAAACGTGGACTACATGTCCAACTGTATTACTTCATGGCAGTATTAATTCGTAGATCTTTTAGTTTCAATTTAAGGGATTTTGAATATTGTGCTACAGCATGCCATCTTGCCTTATCTAATTTGAATTCTATAACCTGACTGGGGTTTTTGAATTTGCACAAACTAGCTTCTCCTTGTAAAAATTTACTAAGAACAAGATTGAAAAGCTTGATGCATTAACCCAGTAACCTAATACCTCCAAACTGGTTTTAAATTCAACCTATTGAGCCTTTTGTTGTTGTTGTTGTCATATGCATCCAACTATGAAGATATTTTACATTTGCATGCCTTCTTATAGTTTTCTGCCGACCTTGTGTCTATGTGATTAACTGATTTTTTCATATGTTCATGCAGATATGTGTCATCTGAATTGGCAACAGATGTCATTATAAATGTCGGGGAAGTGAAGTTTTATCTTCACAAGGTACTTTTTCCTTGCCACCCTTTTTCGTCAAATGAGATGATTTTTTTGTTATACTTGCATCAGGCTTGTTTTGATGTTTTGGTGTTATATATGCATATGAATATTCTTAAATTTTATGTTCCTTTGAACATGTATAGCAGTTTTCAGATTTAAAATGTGGGTGCTCATTATTGAAATGATATATTCCTTTACTAAAATTACTGCTGCTTTTCTCTATCAAAGCTTGCTATTGTTAACTCTATTTTTCTTTCCAGTTCCCTCTCTTGTCCAAGAGCAATCGCCTGCAAAAACTAGTATCTAAGGCCAATGAAGAGAATTCTGAAGAAGTTTACATGGTTGATTTTCCTGGTGGGCCAAAATCTTTTGAAATTTGTGCAAAATTTTGCTATGGAATGACTGTTACTCTCAATGCTTACAATGTTGTGGCTGCTCGTTGCGCTGCTGAGTATCTGGAGATGACTGAGGATGTTGATCGCAGTAACCTAGTATTCAAAATTGAGGTTTTCCTTAACTCGAGTATCTTCCGTAGCTGGAAAGATTCCATTATTGTTCTCCAAACCACCAAACCTCTTCTGTCATGGGCTGAGGATCTGAAGATTGTTGGAAGATGCATAGATTCAGTTGCTTCTAAAACATCTGTAGACCCTGCCAACATCAGCTGGTCCTACACATATAACCGAAAATTAGCAGAGACTGATAAAATTGTGGAAGAAGGGATGAATTATCGAGTTCCCAGGGATTGGTGGGTTGAAGATATATGTGAGCTGGATATTGATCTCTACAAGCGAGTTATGATTGCTGTGAAATCAAAGGGAAGAATGGATGGTGCTGTTATTGGGGAGGCCCTGAAAACTTACGCAGTTAGATGGTTGCCAGATTCTGTTGATGCACTGGTTTCTGATGAGCATGCCTTGAGGAACAAATCTCTGGTAGAAACAATTATTTGCTTATTGCCTTCTGACAAAGGTATGGGTTGTTCATGCAGTTTCTTGCTGAAACTTTTGAAAGTTTCTATTTTGGTTGGAGCTGACTACTCATTGAGGGAGGATTTGGTGACGAGGATCAGTTTGAAGTTGCACGAAGCTCGTATTGTTGATTTATTGATCCCAGCTCGATCTCCTCAAATTACTATATATGATGTTGAATTGGTTCAGTCTGTTGTGAATCAGTTTCTGATGCATGAAAAATGTAACTGGAATTTGGATGTGGTTGAGAAAAATGAAAAGGGGAGTGGTAAGTTTATCTTAGGGCATGGATCATTGTTGAGTGTTGGTAGACTGATTGATGGGTATCTTGCGGAAATTGCACATGACCCAAATCTTAACCTCTGTAGTTTCATAGACTTATCACAATCGATTCCTGAGTCGGCAAGGCCAATTCATGATGGATTGTACAAAGCCATTGACATCTACCTGAAGGTACGCGCAGTTAAGCCATGTCCAGCTACGTTTTTTATTCTCTTGATTTTACTCCGTGCTTTTATCTTCTCACTAGAGTTGCCTTGTCATGCTTCTGAGATTCAAGTAAGAGGATAGGATTTACCATTTTCTTTCAGACTATGAGATGGTCAAACGTATGTATGGTCCCAATAGATCAGAACCTTATTTGATGCCTGTTGTTTATGAAAAATAACTTTTCCTTGCAACTCCCAGCCATGTAAAACCTTTTGGATTTCTCTTTGTTCTGTCTCGTCCGGATGTGGATAAGATATTATTCACATTACATGCATGTTTAAAGCATTCCATATTCTATGCAGAGAACACACACCACATGACTTAAAATTTAGGCCATTGAGTAATATAAAGAGAAATGTAGGAATGTAAATCCCTGCAATAAGGCTCTTATTTATTTATTTATTGATCATAATCAATTGTAATGACAGCCGTAGAATGGGGAACCAGATTAGTTGATTGGTGGGAAATATATACAACCCTTACTGTGTTAGTGAAATATTTACATGAATACTGATTAGTTGTTTTGTCTCCAGGAGCACCCTAGTTTGACAAAGGCTGAAAGGAAAAGAATATGTGGATTAATGAATGTCAAGAAACTGACAATGGAAGCATCGATGGATGCTGCACAGAATGAGCTGCTTCCACTCCGAGTTGTTGTTCAAGTTCTCTTTTTTGAGCAGGTAAGATCTGCAGCTGGCCTTCGAGCTGCTAACAACCATCCCAATGATGCTTCGCTTTCCAGGACAAATTTGGATGAAAAATGCGACAAGACGGCGTTTGCAGAAGAAGAGAACTGCAAACCTCTGGGGAAGCATATGAGCGAAATTAAGGTAACTGAAGAGTTCCAGAAGAATGGGAAATTGGGCAAGAAGAACAGCAAAAACAGTAGAAGTGGTGTGCAATTGTTGCCATCTAGGTCAAGGAGAATCTTTGATAAATTATGGTCTGTGGGTAAGGGGCAGCATGTAGAGAACAGGAGCTCTGAGACATCTGGGAGTTCTCAGAGTCCAACTTCAATTGTTCCTGGTGATGCAAAGTCTGTTTCATCTTCAAGACACAGGAGGCATTCTATCTCCTAGAAAGGGTGACTTCTGAGCTGCTTAGAATTGAATGAGTCGGGAAAGTTCCAACTACCAAGTGTACAAAGGGGTAGAATTTGTTGTAGCTGATGATGATCTATCATAGTCCTTCTATCTACCATATATTATTTTAAAGGGAGTTCATTGTAGTTAAAATTTGTGTGCCTTGTCTAACATCCTTTGGTTCCACTTGTAAAATTATGTGTTTTTGTGCTAAGTGCTAGTTCATTTGGATTTAGAGATCTCAGATCGTTTCTTTTCTTTCATTGTCATCAGACTATCATGCCACTATCTTAATTCCACAGAAATTATCTGAACTGAAATTTCAAGTGAAGAAAATTATCTTTTTCCAGACTTTTAACATGTTATGTTGTTAAACAGCTAGTACTCGATCAGGTGGTTGTTTGTATGATTTTAAAAGATGTTCCATGTTTATCAAATCTCTCCTATTAATAATAAAAATAAAAATAAAAACCTCGCATTAGAGATCCTTGTGAGAGAATATTCCCCTGCAATTAGATGCATGATGGCAGAATATATGAAAGACCATTTGACTTGTAGATGAAATATTAATTTGAGATTAATTCGGAATAAATAAAGGATGAAATTGTAAATTCAAATTCATCAAATATAGAAACTAACGTTCGATTTCCTTTTGAAGTTCGAGTTTTTGACTTTCTTTCCATATCCAGTCATTGATTGACCCAATCGTATGAGAAGGAAGCCATAGCCATAGAGCGAGAGAAATATGAAAGTCACTGGCAGTCACAGAAGCACCATCTGCATCGCGATTGCTCTCTCCCTGATAGTGAATCTGCTTCTTCTACCAGTCACTGAATCAGCGCAATGCAAAGCATGGCTCGCCCAATCAATCCCCACCGACATGCCCGGTCTTCCTCGTGTCCCTGGCGTCCTCTCCACAGGTGACATAAATTTCATTGCTCAAAAATCAAAACCCAATAAGCAAAATCTTCACTTGTTTTGATTATAATTCGTTGCGTTTGTAATTTGTGCAGGGGATGTGCTTAAATGGTTGGCGTCGAACTCAACAGAGAGACTGGACGTAATTGCTCAGTACTGGCAGTTGGTAGCTCACCCTGAAGATCCTCGCTCTGGGGATTTTGGGTACTCAAAAGAGGATTTGCAGAGATTTGGAGCTCAGGAAGGTGCTTCTGTTTATAGCGCCTTGGAAAATGCTGCAGATCGCAATGTTACTATCAGGTTACACCTTTGCACTTGCTTATTAAGCCATTGCTAAAGAACCCACATGCCATTTCTCAGAAAAAGTTTTAAGATTGTAGCTAATTTATGTGTTGATTAATTTAAAGTGATTATATTGTTTGTGTTGTTGATAATGTCTTAGCCTTTTAGGCTACTTTCACACTCAGGTGTATATCCTGACTATACCACAGAACCAACCAACCTTGCCTCAGGAAGGCCTAATGTAAAGAACGTGACTTTACTGCTTAGTGATTGGTGGGGATCAGGCATAGTCCATACCAAAGTCTGGATATCGGATCTACGAGATGTCTATATTGGATCAGCAAACAATGACTGGAAATCTCTCACACAAGTATTTTGTGAAACTTTGCTACTTTTGCAAATTTATCATGTTGCTTTGTATAGTTTACTTTTCCATTTATGATGTACTTTTATTAAATGGTTGCAGGTGAAGGAACTTGGAATTTACTTGGTTGATTGTCCAAAAATAGCCAGAAAGGTTGAGACCTACTTTGACAACCTATGGAAGCTTGCGTCTCTTAATTCTACAGCTCACACAACAACTGTATCAGATCAACAGTGGCAGATCGATAGACAAGTTCCTTGCTGGTCACATTTTGTGGAGTATAAAGCGAGGTGTAGGTATGTTTTGAGGCTGGTAGTTGGAAACTGGTTAAATTCTAGTTTACAATGCTGGATATTCATATAAATATATTTGTATTAAGTGTCTGGATACTTTAGGTATTGTCTGTGTTTGCAATTCAAGTATGATGACTTGTATAGTTATGTCACTCTCACTGCAGTTCACCTCTTCCTGGATCTGTGGAGACTCACCATGTAGCAGGATATCCTATACTGTCAGATCCATATATGTTCAAATTGCCACTCCAGACTCCTGGATATAATGATTCAAATTTGCAACCCCAATCCAGCTATCTCTCTTTTGCTCCTCCAGAGGTAACTTGGCAATATCTAACTTTTTCTTTTCTTAAATGTAAGTTTTGGTTCTCTTTGTATGGTCTATCAGTTGTGTTAAGGTACACGTTCTTCATTTTGTGTGTATTTGACTTGCGTCCCAACTTCTCTTCTTTATCCATTTTGACGGCATTTGGGATCTGCAGCTATCATTTGGTAGGTATCAGGCTGATGAACAGGCATGGGTAGAGACTATTAAATCTGTAGGAATTGGAGGGACTGTTAGGATTAGTACCATGGACTGGCTTGGTCAGTCCCAATATTTAAAGCAAACAGTTTATTGGGCATCCCTCTCCTCTGCAATATCAGAGGTAAACTCTTCCACTGTGACTGCTTCTCGTTTATTTTATTCAAGCTTCTCCCACTAATTAAAAGCTCACAAGACATATGAATTATATAATTGGCAGGTTGTCTTCTCGAAGAAGGCAACAGTGAAGATATTGGTAGCATACTGGGCACATTTTATCAACAGCACAGATCCGTACCTGAAATCTCTCCTCTACTCTAATGTTCTCTGCTCGTCATCCAAGTATAACCATTGTGCTGGGAAAGTTGAGATCAAGTACTATATAGTCCCAGGTTTCAACTTGACAGGACCTGCTGCCACTGCCAGTGGTACAGATACTGGAAATATATACCCCGGTTATACCCGGGTCAATCATGGAAAGTATGCAGTAAGCGATGTTCGAGCTCACATAGGGACAAGCAATCTTATTTGGGATTACTTTTATACAACGGCGGGTGTCAGCTTTGGAACATACAAGCCTGCCATTGTTTCTCAACTTCAAGAAGTCTTTGATGCTGACTGGGATTCTCCATATGCTGTGCCAGTTGAAGAGTTGGGGGAAGGTGGTAGTGCTTGTTCAAGCTGATGAGCACTTGCTTGAATTTCTTGTGCTTGGAGAGTTGCAAATCAATGGACAATGCCCTGAATATAGAATGTAAATGAAAGTGCTGGACGTATGTTGCTCTGGAATTAGGATAACATACAATTGGAAAAATAAACCTGAATAAAGACAGTCATTTTTTTCTCTATCTAAAATCTCTCTCACGGGTACCTGAACCTGACATGTATGTAGAGCTTTCTTTTTGTTGGAGAAGGTAAGATTATGTCCACCCAAACTTTTAACTGTGAAATGGATTTCCATTCATCTCAAACAATTGCTCTATCTCATGCTAATTGAGTAAACTGAATTTTTTTTTTCCAGGAAAAATTTATGGGTATCCAAGCTATTGTTCATCATAACCATAAATTTTAGACTAGCAATTTTCACCCTTTACTTAATGTTTTTTTTAAAATATATTCAAACCTTAAAAAATTTCAGGCTTGCCTCCAAAGTTTTTTTTTAAAGTCTAAAAAATATATATTTGAAAAATAAATATAAATAAAAGGATTAAGGATGGGCTCGTGGACCTTTACGCATGGCCTTGTGGGGCCAAGTTCTATCTGGGCCCTCAGTGACGCTGCCCGTTTCGCCCATATCTACGCTAGATAGGGACCCAAATCCAAATTGTGACCCAAACCAAGGCCCCGACCCACATTTTAGCCCGAGAAATAAGACGATCAGACTTTTATCTGCAGTCAGACAATCGAACGGTTGAGAGATTGTCTGATTGATGCAGCAACACTAGAAACGGTGCGCATAGTATCAGGGTTTTAGCTTAGCGAGCTGAGACTGAAAACCCAGAGAGTGATTGCGAGAGCGCTGAAAAATAGCAGACACAGAGAGATGCAGAAAGCAAAAGCTTTTGAAGCTTTGAGGAGGTGTGTAAGCCAGAGAGGAAGCTCTCTTTCCCATCACAGAGCCTTTTCTGCTCAACCAAACTATGGCCAATATGATGATGTCGAAGACCTGGTCTCTCTCTCTCTCTCTCTCTCTCTCTCTCTCTCTCTCTCTCTCTCTCTCTGTGTAATGATTTCATTTCCGGACAAGCACCCATCTTTTTTTTTCCTTAATATATTCTACTTGGGTTTGGTTCCAATGCATTCTTTCATTTGTTTGTGAATGTAAATTCAGGTTACGGTTGAGGGAAGGGCTAAATCAAGAGCAGCCATTCTCAATAGACCATCTGCACTGAATGCTCTCAATAACGCTATGGTTTGTGTCCTTGATGTTTCTTCAATTTTGTTGCTTTCTCTTTTCTGGAGTTTGATTTTGAGATTTTCTTTCTTGCTTTTTATAGGCAGCTCGCCTGAAGAGACTCTATGAATCATGGGAGGACAACCCAGATATTGGATTTGTTTTGATGAAGGTATGATGCTGTTCCGTGCGAAAACAGTTTTTGGGTTTAAGGGCATCATTTTTTTTTCTTCTTCTTCCTTTTATCAGATTATTTAACTTCTTGCAATGTGCTGAGAATCACTATATAACACACACTGTAGAATCATGGGGTAGGAGGGTCCTTGAACTCAACTCAAACTTTTAGCCCTATATTTAAGTTTTGAGAACATGTAGTTACCTCTAATTTTGAATAAAATGAAATATTATGATGATTGCATCGGAAATATCTACTTTATTATCTCTTGAGAAAGACTTGCTCTGAGGTGCTACTTGATTTTTTGCGTTTTAAAGGGTAGTGGGAGGGCCTTCTGCTCTGGTGCAGATGCTGTTAGCCTTTATCAACTAGTGAATGAAGGTAACTCAGTCATTTTTTTTGGGGTGACAGTTTTATTCCGTGCAGGCCTGTTCGCAGAGCATTTTCCTTTCTCTGGTCTTAAATGTTAAATATTTACATGGCACTGTTTGCTTTTTTTTTCAAATGCTTTGATACTGTGCAGGGAATGTTGAGGAATGTAAAAACTTTTTCGAGACATTGTATAAGTTCGTATATATCCAAGGAACCTACCTGAAGCCACATGTGAGTATTTACCTTTTTTACCAGTGCGCTTTATACTAAATTAGCCGTACTAGTATAATTGTATGATAGATTTTTAATCCAATATCACCACTTTTAATACATAATCTGAGTTGAAGGCTTGTAGCACACCCAGAGTTCTACATATGTTATAAATATAAAGAACAATTTATGCGTAGGAATGTTTTTTCAAGTTCCTATCGAAATTTAAATGTGGCTTTTGATGATCACTTGATCATATATGTGCAGGTAGCGATATTGGATGGTATCACCATGGGAGCTGGGGCTGGCATTGCATTCCCAGGAATGTTCCGGGTGGTGACTGATAAAACTGTATGTGGCTGCTGCTTACTTTACGAATCAGTTTCACTAGATTTTGTTTTTTGTTTTGGTTTTTTTTGTTTTTTGTTTTTTGTTTTGGTTTTGAAGTGATTTCTTTCTTAAAACGAATAAATTGAACTATGTATTCCGAAAGACGACTCCTATTTTAAATTCTGAGTATATCGTGTTACTGTTTTAAGCTTTGATTTGAAAGTAAAGCATTGAACCTTGATGAAGATATGAATATGGAGGAGAGGGAGATGGTTGATTGGTTTACTTATAACGAGGACTGTTTTCTTGGAAAAGTCATGTCTTTTTGCTCTGGAATGATTTTCGAATTTGGAGAAAAGTCTTACATGCCAAAGACTCTCCTAGCTATGCTTCTTAACACCTTCAGTGAAGCATCTTCCAATCTTCTGAAAAAGAAAACAACTCTTCATTTTTCTTTTCTACCTGACGTGTTTGAATGAGGTGTAGACTTTGTTTCAATTCTTTTCAACTGTGCTGCATTTCTGCAGGTATTTGTCAATCCAGAGACTCAGATGGGTTTCCATCCTGATGCAGGGGCTTCCTTTTATCTGTCTCGTCTACCTGGCTACCTAGGTAACATATACAACTTTGTAGATTTGAGATGTTCAGCCTTTATCATAATCTAAAAAGGATTATATTTGCCTCATGTTTTATGTGCTTCATTTTTTGCAGGAGAATACTTGGCTCTTACAGGAGACAAGCTTAATGGTGTAGAAATGATTGCATGTCGCCTTGCTACGCACTATACGCTAAACGCAGTTTGTTTGCACTGCACTTTATTCTTCTGCGCCCTTGTTTCAGTATTTCATTATTAATATGCATCTGATGATCATCAAAACTCTTCCTGCCAGAGACTTGCTTTGTTTGAAGAACGCCTTGGTAAATTAGCTACAGATGAACCTTCTGTAATAGAGACATCTCTTGCACAATATGGTGACCTTGTTTATCTAAACAAGAGGAGTATACTTTCTAAGTAATTTTCTGTCACATATTTCTTGGTACTGCAGCAATAACAATAAGATTTAACAGTTACAGAGAATTTATTTCTAGTGGCATTGATCTGTGCGTCTGACTTGCTTTATCTCCATTTTGTATGTCAACTCAGGCTTGAGGTTGTTGATAGATGTTTTAGCCATGACACAATTGAGGAAATTATTGATGCTTTGGTAAGCATGATATGTTCTTCTAAACCAAAAGGAACTTGTACCACAATCTGTTGATCGACTACATAACCATGCCTTTATTGCTCAGGAAAAGGAAGCTGCCGATTCTTATGATGAATGGTGCACAACAGCCCTCAAGAAACTAAAAGAAGCCTCCCCCTTGAGTTTGATAGTTTCTTTGCGATCTGTGAGTTACCACTCGATAGCATGCTATAGAGTTATACCTGTATTGCTTTTATGCTATATGCTTGACTTTCACTTGTGCATTCAGATACGTGAGGGCAGATTTCAATCACTTGATCAGTGTCTGGCTCGTGAATATCGTATATCCCTTAATGCAATTTCCAGACGGGTTTCTAGTGACTTCTTTGAGGTATGGGTTTTTCAAATTTTCATGTACTGAACATCTTTTAATCTGCTTTTTACATTGCCCTTTGTTTCTATCTTCCTATAGGGTGTTCGAGCAAGATTGGTGGACAAGGACTTTGCACCCAAGGTAGTCTACTTTTATTCCAAAGAAAGTAACAATCCTTTTATATCTTTTTTCAAGTAGTGATCATATGATTGATTTTCATCCCAATTATGCAGTGGGATCCTCCTAGTTTAAAAGAAGTGTCCAAAGACATGGTTGATTGCTATTTCTCCCCACTTTCAGAATTTGAGCCTGAGCTGGAGCTGCCCACAGCGTCACGAGAGCCATTTATGCAATTGACGGATTCACATAAAAAATGACACTGAACTTATGCAATGCTTTGTTTGTCACGCGTTAGAATTCGTCCTTTTTAACATACCCCGTAGAAATTATTTCTACGCATTTCTTTGTAATAGCATTGTATCATCTGAAAGTACAGGCTTTTTAGTTGCTATTAGCTTCGGGAGGACTTGTTATTTTTTGTTGGTCATGCAATGAATATAAAGGGTTTTCACTTCTCAGACAATCATCAACTTATCTTAGAGTGGTTTGGATCACATCCAGATCCAGAGGAGATATATTTATCACATTCAAACCTACAATTTCATTAAGTAAAACATACAAAACTTTGTAATGAACATGTCATGGGTCAAATTATGTAAGGATATATAAGAAAACTAAGAGCACAAGCCCAAAGTAGACCGCACCTACCTCTAGAAGAAAAGGTCGTTTCTGTTTTCAGTAGTGTTTAGAGGGGTCGCATTACGAATACTGATTCTTTAAAGAGAGAATTGTTTTTTAAGAGATTCTTTAAATATACAACTAGATGTCCTGATAACATCTGGAACCAAAATATACAAAAACTGATGTGTACTAGCTGAAATATTCATCAGTCTAAAAGCAGGTGTTCACTCCACAACTATTCATTCACTCAACAAAACCGGGTCTCGAACTTTAAGCTTATGCCCATGCTGAAAAGCTCCTGGCACAATAGCTTCGCTCCATATGGTACATTAACCCGAACAAGGTCATCAGCAGAGTCGCAAATCCGGCAATGAGGACCCCTGATCTTACGGCCACCAGCGACTGTTCGTAGGATCACATAAGCCACATTTTTGCATTTCTGGCAAACATGCATTTGGGAGGAGTCACTAAGAGTGAAGAGGCGTTCATGTAAATTTGCTGAAGCTCCATGGGCTATAAGGCAGTCACGTTCCATCTCACCAAACTTGATCCCACCAAATCGCTTCCGATCTGCCACTGGCTGTCGGGTCAAAGGATGGACTGGCCCAGTGTTCCGAAACTTAACTTTATCTTCAGACATGTGAATCAAGCGCTGGTAAAACGTTGGGCCCATAAATATCAGGGAACGAACCATTGCACCAGTTGCACCATTGTAAACTCTCTCATTTCCCCATCTTGCAAATCCAGCGCTGACATAGATATTTAAAATACATAAATAACGTTATTCCATTCAAGGGAGAAAATCAAAAACAAAATTTCCTTAAACACAAGAACAATTCCGGCATGTAAATTCTGCTTGAATTTTTTCATGCAATTTACCAACCTACAACATTTAACTTGAAAAGCAACCGATAACTGAAAATGAAGGGCCAACATTATTGTACTTAGCAACATAAAAGTAAATACACCACAATAAGTTTTAGGCAGTGAAGTTATGCAAGGTCTCATGGCATATACTCAAGAAAACACAGTGGAGAAAACTTCTTTTGTATAGCAACAAACATACAATATAAAAATTCAGACAAACCATGCATGGAGACTCGGCACTATTTTCTGTGGACACAAGAAGCAAATGTCTAACCACAGAACCGGGTATGCAACTCAACTCAACTCAACAAACTTTAACTCCAAGTAACTTACTCGCCTTTAATGCACCTCAGGAACGTTACAGTCACATAGTCAAAATTTTCATATGGTTGTTAATTATACAATAACACTTTTCATCATTAAAATTGAGGAAAGCCCCATATTAACCCATTGCATGTCCATAGGGAGACATTTCAAAAGAAACAGCCATGGCTGAGAGTCTGAGAAGTAAAATGATGTCAGGGTGAAGTTGGACGAATGTCAGTGTTCAACAATAGTTCAGGCCCCCATAAAAGTGTGAAATGTGAAATTAAAGTGGACTATTTTAAGGTGCAGTTGAAGTATACAAGTCATGAATTAGAATGACTGAGTTACCTATGCAGTTGGTCTGTGATGTCATCAACAGAGAGCGTAGAGAAAGGCGTTGCATATCTCTTTGAACCACCACAGGCGATTCCCTTCCCCAAAGCAGCCTCTAGGAGTTGACCAGGAGTTTGTCGTGAAGGAAATGCATGTGGATTAATTACAATATCTGGAACCACCCCCTGTATTGTGAAAGGGAAGTTCTCTTGGGACTCCAGAAACCCCAGGACACCTTTTTGTCCATGCATGCTTGAGAACTTGTCTCCAAGACATGGAGAACGAACCTATTCAATTAATTACACAGGGAATTAGTGAATGGAATTAGTTTTTTTAAAGTGAACTTAGTAAAAGCAATAGGCAGGCCCTTAGAACTATTATTTCAATGGCATATTTACTTGCATCAGATTACAGGCACATGCTGCCATCTTCCATTGTATACAGATCCTACATATTCTCGCAAACCATCTTAGTGTGAACCAAAGTATGTAGTTGGACATGCATCTACATTTGTGCATGTGCAAGCATCCAAATAGATGTCCATGCTTTCATTAAATTAAGTTACGACATACATACCTGTCTTAGAGATACAACAGCAAAATTCTTTCCATCATCATTAGAAGAAAGTAGAACTTTCTGAACCATTCCCCTTTCAGTGTGCTTCAGTTTGATGCTATGATCAGCTCCTGATTCACTGCACCTCCCAATTATAATATCACCACTCTGCAAATTTGCACCAACATATGGAAAACCATCATCATCGAGGCTGTCAACACGTCCAAATTTACTTTGCATCTTTCCAAAATTGACACAATCATCAGGCTTCCGCCTTTTGTCCAGAGACTCCTTGTTGTCAACCTCAGCCTTGTAACTTCTTATGTGTTCAGATCGGAACATACCACGTTCCAATGATGCCCGGTTCATTACTATGCTATCCTCTTGGTTAAATCCTAAGTGGACATTGACTGCCACGATAGCGTTCTGGCCATTATAGTATTCAGGCTTTGGAACAATTCTGTTATGGCGTCCTGGTTTTCCAAGACAATCAGATGTCATTGTCTGGAAGAGTGGCCTCTGGGGGTAGTGCAGTTGGTGAGACAGAGTATCCACTCTGAGGTTAGGATTGGTGGTAGAAAAAACCAATAGCTTGTTGAGAGTGCTTCTGGGCTTGGTATAGGACCCTCCGTGCGTGGTCGTGATTTGCATATGGGATAATGCCACAGCTTAAACCTAATAAAAATGACATGTCAAGTTCACAGTGTGTGAACTTCGCGGCTGATTTTCCCTTGTCTTCCATGAAAAGATACTTAATACCCCACGCAGTAGAGCAATCTTCTTCTTCTTCTGCTCCAATGAGCTCGATTATTCCATTGTCAAGAAAATATTGGAAGGAACTTTTCCCCCCTTTGGATGATTTAACCTTGTTCAAATTCTCAACTACCAAGAGAGGGCGTAGGATCCTTCCAGCATCAGAAAATATGCGTACTTCTCCTTGGTGTACATCTCTCTTGATTTCGACCTGAGACAAAATTGTTACCAGTATTAGATACTCTATTATAATAACTGAGGTATCTATCATAAATGCATGCTAATTGCTTATTCGTAAAGAAAATCATTGTGTAAATAGCAGATGAACTAAATTGGTCATAATAACTGAATCATCCATGATATATACATGCTACTTGCTTATTAGTAAAGAAAAATCACTATGAATTGCAGGTGAATAAATTTACTCTAAAAACTGAGATATCCACCATAAATAAATGCTACCTGCCAACTACTAAAGATAAATCATGGTATAAATAGCAGGTGAATAAATTTACTCTAACTACTGATAAGCGAATAAACAGCAAAATTATAATCCCTAGTTAAAAGACAGAAGTTTCTTTTAACAGGAATTATAATTCACGATGCATCCAGCACTGGCTAGCTTCTTGGGAACCAAATCATATAATTCATGATGTATACCCTTGTAATTGAAGAGATGAAGTAACAGAAATAGGTTATACTAAAATACGAAATAGTTTCATAAACAATGCTCCTAATGCTGTGGTATAAGACTATCCACAGAAAGTCATCTTTATACATCATAATTCAATTTGCCTGCCTAAACTGAAGCACAAAGAACTTATGGGCATTATAGCAAAACCAAAGCAATTTGAAATTTGAAACTTATCAATGTGATTGAACAAGAGAAAACCTGATGTGGCAACTTTTTCCTGCGACGCATCCTCCTTAGTTCCAAAACAAATGAGAGGGAATCTTCACAAACTCCAACCCAGTCCCCATTCAGAAAAACTTTATCCTTCCCACGCAGTGATGTAAAAGTATCATCCACCAATTTCTCCATGCCACATGTTAATAATTGGGGTATCAGAGATTCCATTACATTTGTACTAACTAGTCCAGTGGTAGCCAAATTTTTTACAAGTCCACAATTCTCACCATCCGGGGTTGAGAGAAAGCAAACCTTACCCCAGTGAGAAGGATGCCTGCATCCAGAAGGTTCTATTAGCCACAATTACAATTTTCCAAAATATCTCCAGAACAAAAACAAAAATAGTAAAACCAGTTGAAATAAGTTGAAAGTTACTCACGGGTATCTGGCATCTCCAACCTTCCCTGTATATTGAACCTGCTGCCTTGTCTTCCTCATATCCACCATTGTCTGCAGCGGATTTGCTCGCCCAACTGTTGCAACTACACCAGACATCCTCTCCATCCTCTTGAAGGGATGACACCACGCTCCGGTTGAGAATGCTCTGGAAATACCATTAGTCACTATAGAAGCATCTAGATAGTGCTCTATCGGCCGCACAGCACGATCACCATAAAGGTCTCTCTGCAAGGCCTTTGCCATGCGCCTCCGTGCATGTCCAATATGTGCCTTGAGCTCTCGCTCTAGAAGCTCTCCAGCCAAGTCCAACCTCTTGTTCCTAAAGTCATCCCTATTGTCACATTTCCTGCGGCCAGCATAGGCCTGTAATAGAGACTTTACCATATACCCAAGAAAGCGAGCCTTTTGCTTTAGGCCTTTCAGATTGGGGAACAGATACAGGCTAATGCATTCTTCCATACTTTCCCCAGGAGGAAATGCGGTTTTCCTTATCACCTCATCCACATATTTGAGGGCATTCTTCCCCCTACGGAACCCCCCATCTACTTTATCATTTAATTTATCTGCATCGCGAATAGAGGCAAAGAGTATGTTCGAGATGCTGGCATCTTCACTGTCATAATCAATCAGATTCATCACCTCTCTGTCTGATGAAACACCAAGGGCAAAAAACCATATCCACACAGGGATTTCCGTTGACATGAAGTAAACAGTAAGGACTTTCTCTACTCCTTCAATGTTTTCTAATTTGGAAATCCCGACTAGCCTAATTATTAGCCTATGCCTCTTAACCTCTGACCTGTATGCTACTGTCAATCCCTGATTATTTGTGATAAGAAGTCTCTTCAGACAGCTCTGTTCTTGTGCAATAAATGTCTGCATTATACATCGCACAGATGTCACTACAACTGTGTTTAACTAGATATAATACATTGCATAGCAGAGTCCACTTGAACATTTTAAAGGCACCAAATAACAAAGAACAAACAGAAAACTAGGAAAGTAATAAACTGACATTTTAAACAAATCATCTGAAACTTACATTTCCCATCATAAATAATGAATTATCTGCATAACAGGAATTAAAGTAAGTTTTGGGCTCACCTTCTCTGCACCCTTGATTATGAAATAGCCTCCATGGTCAAAATCACAGTCTCCTTTCTCGAAGTCCTTCATCCAACACAAGTCAGACTTCACCATCACAGGGACACTGCCAATTATAATGTCTCTGGTGTCTGTACTCAGAATTTGCTTATCAAGATACTGTGCTTTTCCAGTCTTAAACTTATCACTACTCACAAGCTTTTGAGTATATACCTGGCAGATTACAAATAACCATACATTAGTAGATGTTATGAAGTTGGGAAATAAAAAGAAATATTTTCAGATCATTGTTTCAAACTTGGCTGTCAACATAGAAACTGCACTAATTTAACACTAACAACCTAACCAGATTCCAGTTAAGGTCAAGTAAAATTTCATGCATTTTACTGAAATAGTTATCAAATTCATTTACCTCAACAGTAATGTTCACTTTCATCTTGGATGCGTATGACATGTTTTGAAGCCGAGCATGCCTAGGTAACATTTTATACTCCTTTTCATCATCTGAACCACCCCAAAAGCTTGGCATACCAAGGGTAACCTTGCCAAACTTCACAGAAGCATATCGCCACTCACTCTCTCCCTTCTTTGATGGGTCATACCCAGGCTCAACTATAATCTCACCAAAAGAATCAAAGACCCTTTGTATACCATTTTTGATGAAGTCATTGTATGAGTTGATTTGATGACTAATGAGGCCATACTCGTTGAAGAAAGCTATTGCAGCTTCCTTACAAAAAATCTTCAGAAACCCTTCCCCCAGGTCATGTATGCTAGTCGAATAATCGTAATCATCATCATATCCATTATCATCAATATCCATGTCAGCTATATCTGAAAAGCTTTCTCCCTTGCTGCTCATACCAATATCTCCCTTGGCATCCGATGACGCCCCCATTGGATTCAAGTCTTTTAAGAGAACGAAGGAAAAGAAGCTGAACAACATATATAATATCAAATTAGCAATCCAGTTATGAAACCAATTGGAAAAGAAAATAAGAATGAAGTTCAAATCTCTTGAACCCAAACAACATTAGCACTTATTTCAATAAGAATATAGCAAAAACAACATAGAAAAGGAAGGAAAAGCAACTTTTTGAAGACCCCACATAAAACCTAACTTCTAAAACTCTAAATGTGAACCTTAACACATACATGTGAGATATGAGCTATCTTCTTCTACTATCCAATTTCGTTGTTCAAAAACATTGAATCGTATATTCCAGTTCTGCATATATTAATTATGTACTTACCGGTTACCAAATTTATTTCAAAAAAGAAAGAAAAAGAAATATGTATAACAGTGCATCTTATACATGTCATACTTTCCATACGAGTCATTATGTTACTTAGTGGCATTTCCCACTTGAAGTTGGAAAAACACCACCAACAATGTTAAACGTGCATATTCATTTACACCTTGTTTAAATACTTCAGTATTCAAACTCAACTCTCATTCATTCTGGAATATTACATATTCCCATAAAACCCATAAACCCATCTGCAGCAACTTATCCATGCAAAACAAATGCTACGGCCTCCTCCTATCTTATAAAATTTGTTTATGTTAAACAAAGTACATTATGAAGAAAAACAAGAACATTATTAGGGATTTTCGGTTTGCTTTGCACTACTCTTTGCCTTTTCCACGACACTGGAGAAGGGAACGCAATACTTTGTTTAACAACTTTACCAAGCACCTATTTCAAAGACAAGTCAGAAAATTTAAAAAAAAATAATCTCATCCATGCTAAAACCCCAAGCTAAACAAATACATTAAGAAAGAGAATACCTCCAGAAATTATTTTACAAAAAATTAAAAAGGAAAGATCAAAATTTATCATTAAGAAACTTTACTCTTAACAGAAACACATGGAGAGAAGAAAATGTATAAATAGAGAGATAGATAAGTACATACAGTGAGCTTGATCAGAGTGTGTTGTAGAACCCTAAACCCCTGACTGTAAAAATGTTGGCGATGAACGCTCCGATTATTAGGGTTTACAAACAATGCATGTGAGATTCTCGGATTTTCTTCGCTCTCTCACTCACTCTCACTGCGTTGAGCAAGAAAATGGGTCTCTGCTCTCTCTCTCTCCCCCCTCTGTTGTGCTGTCCTTGTATGACCAGGAGGAGACCTTTTTTTGGATTGTAACGTTTCTCAGCTGTGAGCAATTAACGAACCAACTTCATCCTTATTTTGGGCTAATAAAAACAGCCCATATGAAATGGACCACCTTGACCCGACCCAATTGTTGGGTCGTTGACCATGGTCTGATAGGCTATAGCTGACCTCATAAATAATTTTCGTATAAGAAAATACTTATATTAAAACAGTTCGTTTCAGAGAGTCCTTTTGGACAGATTTAGAATGACCCTTTCCCCATTTTTGTGTTTGGAAAATTAAGTGATGCGAATGTATTGAAAGATCTAAACCTTCCTCTTCAGAACGGAAACGGACGTGGCCAAAACATATAAAGATCGGCGTAGTCGAGAGGTACATATCTATCCAGATAGAGGATAGTCCCTCCTTAATTTTCCCTCTAACTCCTTACTTGAGTGGTATTTTGTCCCCTTATGAAGTAAGGTTCAATTCCTGTAGGGGAGTCTCACTCCCATTCTGCTTATTCTTCATAGATGTATAAGTTTACCTGGTTAGCACTTGTCTAACAGAAAATAAATATATAAATAAATAAATTTTAGCAGTTAAACTATACATTAAGGTTTGAAAATTACCAGTTGTAGTAAAGAAGAAAAAGTCACCACAACAATAATCTCTCTTTGTTTATAAAAGAAAGTGGCTTCATCACTACTCCTGGTAGCATCATGTACCTCTGGTTGCGTACCCTAGTCAATGCCTAGACAAACCCATATTTATTCAAAGAGCAATGCTAACATCAGTTCCTACCCTACACAAGCGTGGGTGATTGTGGATCGTTGATACGTACTCAATCATCACGTGAATGTAGGCCACTCCACTTATGCTAGCATAACTCAGTCCTAATTTTGTGTAGGCATGCATTGTCATAGTCTTTTTTATTAATTGATGTGATATTGTTATCTGCAGGTCGATTGAGCTTCCCACTAGAATTCAGTAAGTTATAAATTGGCCTCTCCAAACATACAAGAACATCAAGAACTTTGGTATTATTATCTGGTCATGCCTTCAAGAACAAGGCTGAATGATCTTCTAAACAATAGACAGTTCAAATCTGAACCTTCAAATCATCACATGAATTGGGAATACAAAAAATTTAGGAAGACTTGAATCTAGTCTAGGCGGCGAAGGAGGTACTCGACTTGAACAAGCTTGGTGAGGGGCATTATCCAATCTCCGTAGAGCCGAGAAACCACAGATGGATCAACCTTGCATTTCCCATTTCCATTATCAACCAGGCACACGTCCTGTCCGAAAACCGCTGCCTTCTTCTCAACTCTCTTCTTCACCATCTCTTCCACAGCCTCAAAGGTCAACAATTTCATAAGACCCTCTCTGTCCTGAAAAGATCAACAACCCAGTACAGTACTGCTGCATCAGCTTAATTACATTTAACTTTCTGTTCAAACAAACTCCATTCTAATGGAATTACAAACTTGGGAAAATGATATTGTGTAAAAAGATGATCAATACCCTACTTGTTAAACTATAATCAACAAACCAACTAACCCCTTTTACTATAAGGTTTAATTACTCTATGATGCAAATACCTGAGCGCGAATCGCAGGCTCGTAGTCTTGAGGGGCATCCTTGAATTTAACCTCAGCTACATAGTATCCATAATGAATCCTTCTAGAGATGGCCTGCATGTGGAAGACAATCAGTGTGCAGACAAGTATGATTATTATTATTTTAGGCCATTGTTCATGGCATCACTTGATCTTTATCTGAATTGAAAATTTAAAACACTAATTGGCACTTCCACCTGGTCTCCTAGATGCATTCCTAAACAAATCTTAATAGAATTAAAATATATGATTAACATATGAACATCACTTTACAAATTAAATATTAATAGCATAAACTCTCTACCTACTACCGCCCACTAACATTATAGTCTTACACAAAAAAATGATTAAGGTTAACCTTTACCTGTAAACAGTCAAGATCACTAGAGGCAGTTGATGCATAGTTTCCATCATCACCAGGGACAGCAAAAAGTGGAAGCAATTGGTTGAAATAAAAATCCCATATCTTCTCGTTTATGTTAATGGAAGCTGCAGCAGGATGCAATACCTATAAGGAAAAAAATTAAAGTTTCAATTTTCCAGTAAAATATGTAAAAGGAAAAACTTAAACTTTTCTGGGTATATAGAATTAATTACTGGTGGATTGGCCTGAGGCGGCACCAATGAAGGTGGTAGGTTTTCTGGGGAAAAGGGTTGTTCTTCAGGGTTTTCATACCTACCAACCTGCAAGTGCAACATATAAAACAGGTAGATTAAGAGACATTGTTAATCACAAAGACAATCCATCCCATCTTGGATTTTCCAAATGACAAAACAGGAAACAGACAAACATTCCACGTGAAAATGAAGAAACCGAGGGAGAGAGGAGAGAGAGATGATTGATTGTCCATTTGTAATGAAACAGTAATTTACCTTGGATTGAAGGGCTTCTGTTTCCTTAACCACGAATTGGAGCAGAGAACCAGAAAAAGATGCAAACTTTTCATCGTAGGTGGGAGAATTGACGGGGAAGTTGGCTCTCTGTATCAGCCTGAAAACGATGGTGTCTTCTTGTCTGATCAATGCCTCTCTCACTTTGTCAAGCGTCAAATTATCACTGTTGGAGTTTGCTGCAGCTGCCATTTTAATGAATTGAAAGAATTGTCCAGTAAAAGCAAAGCAACTTGGGATTGGGATTGGGATGTGATGTATAAAGTTGTACCCTTCTGTATTTTCTCAGGGATTTTCTTGTCAGCAAACAGAAAGTCAGAAATACCAGAAAGAAAGCGAAAAAAATGAACCTTCAGAAATTAGAAACTTTGCTTACTGCTTGCTTGTGAGAGGGAGCTGATTGTGGTGGGCTTTTTAACGGCCAGAAAAACAGAACAAAAAGAGGGAGGGTGGGCCCGTTCGGTGCTCACACGGTAACGTGGGTCTACTGCTTCTTTCCGTAAGCTCAGCGTGAGAATCTAGTATAACGTGTCGTGATGTGATTGTATGGCGGCTTTCCGCAGCAGGCGGTAAACGGGACCCACACTCAGATCACGCGGTTCACCTAATTTTAACCGTCGGACATGTCATAGACCGTTAGACATGGTCCATGGGCTTGAATTACTAACGAGGACTTCGTTGCAAAAGTAGTGTCAACGAAAAGTCTTGAGGAAAAAATGAAGAGGAGAACCTTCTAGAGGAAAATCCTCCGTTATTGTTCCTCCATAAATAAACAAAATATTACAGAGACCCGAAGAAAAATCTCATTTTTAATTTATTCTGGTGGAGCAAAATCTCAAGCATTTTTAAATATCAAATAGTACAAATGGGGTGTAATAAACATGTTTGTTTGTTTATGCTAAGTCTCATTTTATATCCATTTACTTCCAGCACCTAAGATTCTGCAATGTGAAACTAAGACCTGTGATGTGAAACAAAGAACATGTTACATTGTATATGGCATCATTGGGTGTGTGCTTGTTTTGTTTTTTTTTTTTTTTTTTTTTTTTTTTTTTTTTTTAATAAAAAAAAAAGTCGTTGGTGTCTCTACTGTTGTGAGGGTGTGCCTAAAAATGAAAACCACGAAGAAATGGGAGAAACCTTTCATACTCCCGTTTCCATCCAATCATGTATCTCTCTCCTCATGTCACTTATAAAAGAGGAGGAAGAAAGAATGGAGTAATATAACGGGAAAGTATTTTTAGCTCGCCTCTCAATACAAAATTAGCACGCATGCCCACCGAAGTCCCAGATTCCCACTGCCACTATCATCAACCCCAAAACCGAAAAAAATAAAAATAAATCAATTAGTTATAAATAAACAAACACAACATCAGGCATACTCTAATTGTGTCAAAAGCCCAACATCATGCGGGCTCATGATGTCCTCGACTTCCAATTACATGACTTGCAGGCTGCAACTACTGCTAAAATGGAGGGCAGATGTTACTAATGTAGAGCAAGTAGAGAGGAGGCATGAACCCGAATGTCCTTGAGAGCACAAATCTGGTCTTCTCCCATGGATGCCATAACTGTCACAACGAGGTCCTTACCCTCTGCAAACCCATCTTTAAGCCGGATACACAAGAAGCACAAAACCATATGTGTTAAAAAACTGGTTTAACAATCAAAGATGGATTGCGTTTGAAGAAAATGTATCGGCGAAAAACGCAATTTTCAGGGCAAGTGAACACTTCAGACATTATCAGAACAGTATCTTTTGGCCTCACCTGGCTGAGCAAGTTTCTAGAACCCAGGAGATATATATATTTAAAATAACAATAAATCAAATTCCAAAACTAAACAACAATTAAAGAAAATTTAGTTAAATAGAAGGAATAAGTGGTGGGTTAGAGAGAGGATTAGGACCTTGCATGGACGGCCCTTGATGACAATTCTTGCGAATGGTACCAGCATCCGCCTGGGATTCCAAGTGGTTTTAACTTTCTTGGCTTTTCTTCTGCAACCATCTATCCTAATTATGGTTTTTTAAGGTTTTATTTTGCGCCAACAAAATCATTAATAATTGCTTCTATATCCGACTGGATTCAACCACACCCCTTGGATGCTGATGTTCGACATCATATCCACTTTGAGGGTCCTGATATCCTCACACCTCGTGGCTTGCTGTTTGTTTTTATCTTGTTAAGGTTTGCTTTCTTTTGCAACCCAAGTTTGCATAAACATAAGTTACATTTATGCAGCCCAAACTCCAGTTAGGCCCATCAGTCCTTTCTTATTATCACCATTTCATGGCACGCAGTTGCCCAAAGTTGGGCTTTGTGCAACTGATCAAATCTAAGCCCTTAATCAGTCTTCTAATTAGAGGATTTGGATGGCTGAAGAGAACAATCACACCGGTTTCTATCATTTTTTTCAATTTATAATGACAGAATTATGATAATGCATTCTCAATCTGAATCAAAACAGAAAGTTCAATCATAAATAAATAAATAAATAAAAGGTGCAAAAAGATTAGGAATCATACACTTCACCAAAATTGAAAGACTAGGATAGTTACAACTCTCAAAAGGGAACAAGAAAGCAAGGTTGCTTTTGGCGGTCCAAATCAAACCCATAATCATATGCTTGCTTTAATCCAACAATATTTTTTATCTACATAACCTGCAAATCCATACTCAAAAAAAAAAAAAAAAAAAAAAAAAAAAGACTAAACAGTTCAACAAATGTCAATCTCCCAAAACAATGTGACCCATTATACAATTTTCCAAATCAAACATTTGAGAATAAAGATGCACACAACATGTATATAACACTTAACAATACAAGAAAATCAGAACCCAATTGGTAGTTTTGTATCGCCTATAATACAAGCATGCATATTCTCAAAACTCAAAAGCCACTGTACAGTTTGGTGCTCACCTAAACGAGTGAAAAGTACTTTCGGGATCGTGCTGGGAAGCAATCGACGCTGAAGGGTCTGGAACACGGTGTGATACAAGCGCTGCAGTTGCAGTTTCTTTCCACCATGAAACCTCTGTTTCTTTCTCGTGAAGCTTGCGCTTCGTGTACTCTAAAGCAACTTCAAGTTCTTTTATCCGATCTTCCTGTCTCGCTTCCAACACTTGATGCAACCTCCTCTCAAGTTCAAGTGCCGGAACTCCATAGTCACAGGGCATTTCAGCATAATCCGGCGGTTCTGCTTCATCACAGTCAATTACAAGAGCACAGTCTCTAGAAGCCTGCCATTTTTAACATTCAAACATTAATTTCAGAAGATTAATTAATCAAACCAATTAGTATAATTAAACTAAATCAGTCTGAAAACTAATAGTGTTTACCTTTAGCCTCTGCTGAGGGTATTCAAAATTGGATGAATCATTTTCCGAATCCAATTGGAGCTGCAACCGTTCTAACTCGGCTTCAAGCTCCGCCTCAAGTTGATCCATTCCTGCCACGCATTCATCTCTCTCTCCTTCTCCTTCTTCATTTCTAATATATTCCGAGCACCCATCACGGACAACACCAGATTGAAGCGAAAACTGGCTACCGGAGCTCGAGCTCGAAGCTTGATGGAAATCAGTGGTGGAAGAAGCAATATTCATCTCATTCAACTCCAACGGTTTGGCGTCAAAAGGCGCGTTCTTTCTTTGCAATCCCTCTTTTGCGTTTTGAAGAAGCAGCTCCATCTGTGTCCGCAGCTCCACCATCTTTGTAAGCTCATTTTTACTGGCGACAATCAGATATATCAAACCGCACGCAACGCCCAAATTGAATGAGCCGTTATCTTTTACAAACTGTCCTGGATTCATCAGAAGGAGAGGATCAACTTAGTAATTAATATAAACCAAAACGTAAAAATAAATTAATAACAATAATTTAGAGAATTTCAATTTTGTTTTAACCTGACTGCTTCAATCCATGCGTCGAACAGGCGGCGTGCGTTGACTCGTCACCGGTTTCCCTTCTCGCGACCTCTTTGAATATCTTCTGGCTCCGTACGACGTCGCTTCGCCTTCTGTTGGATCGTCTCAGAGACGACAGCCATCGGGAAATAATACGGCGCGGGGTGGAGCACTGTAAAGCCATCAATCTGTCGTCCGTCGGGCGGTCTCCGATGCCATCCATATTGAAATCTCCGACGCAATCGTAGCCGTCGGTTTCGGATCCCTCTTCTTCATCAACGAGAATATCGGCGATGCGGATGTGGCGGGTCTTGGTGTAACGGAAAGGGGAGAGAATGAGGGTTTTAAAGAAGCGATCGTCTTTCTTCTCCATCAGAGCTTCATAGGAATTAAATGCGATGAGCCAGTGACAGAGTATAGAGAGAGAGAATCAGATTTAAATTGTGGATAAAAATGGAGGGAAGATCATCAATGGCGCCTGGTGGGTGGCGGCAGGAGGAGGCTGCACGTATCCATAGGGTTTATGAAATTTCAATCCCGCTCCTTGACACTTGTTGGTTCCAAAATTTTGTAATTTGGAATTTATGATTCCCACACACATTTCATAAGATGAAAGATGAATTTTCTCTTTTTGAAAAAAAAACAAATTTTGAATTTTGAATTACGATTAAACAAAGGAAGCCACCGAGCCAACTACGGAAAAAATTAATTTGGACTTATCAACATTATCAACCCTAGAACGGAAAAAATAAAATTAGAGGAAACTTATGAAATGACTCTTCCTTTATTTGACAACAATTCCAAAAGTACAAAATTCACATAATGGAATATGAAACTTTGCTAAATATGCCGATCTACCGTTACGCTACATCAACTAAATTCTAAATCAATAAAATAAAATCTTCAATTTAACTATTAATATATGTCACGAAACATGTTTTTTTATAATGCTATTGCTTCAACTTGAAAATGGAATATATAAGAGACTTATAACTCGAGTGATTAAGAACATCTATTTTTAGACATGAAGTGTTTTGCTTAAATATTTAAATGGAATAATGTGAAAATCTATCACATTAGAAGACTACTAAGGTCGTGGTGATCATGCCGACACACAACGCAAACAATAATATAAAAAATAATAAGTAGTGCTGTGGTGCTGTGGTGCTGTGGTCCATCAATTATTTGATTTCTGGTATTCTGTATCAATTATTTGATTAGGTGGCTTAATTTAATTTGTGTATTGTATTTCTATCAGTAAGGACAAGGAGAGGACAATATTTAAATTCCTATTGCGATTTGGCCACTTGTGTTTTTCAATCGACTGGGACAAATTACGGATTCTGGTCGGGTACGGGTATTGTGGACATTAAATTATTTATATAAAAACCCAGTTGGAAAAAGGTCATTCAAAGCACACATAACTGGAAGACCATCCGAGACCAAAACACGAACGAGGGACGGAGGAGGCCTATCAACCCATTTTTGTAGACTCACCGACCCTAAACCAATCCTTGCAGCCTCATGAGCAGTAATAGGATCAGACTTTCCATTAATTTGTAAATATATCACAGCCATGGAGACACCACAATCAATGACATGGAGATTAATAAGTTCACTCACATGTAGATGATGTAGGGAAGAATACCCTTTAAACAATTTGCCAAGATTTTTTTTTTTATAAGATCTTGTACGAGTTGTTGCATAAGCTAATCGGTCTAAATTACCCCGTGCACTCCCATGACTGCACCTTGGGAATAAGAGCAATGTGGGTACGGTTGATCTCCCTCATATGATCATAACCTTCATAAAACTCAGCAGCAGCCCCCTCAATGATTTCTTTTAAAGTTGACCAGAATTTATGATAGAAGATACTTGGAAATCCATCTGGCCCAGAAGCCTTAAGGGAACCTAATTGGTGGATTTCCTCCTCAGAAAAAGGGGCGCACAGCATCCAATTCATATCATCATTCAATACTGGGTGGATACAATTCATAACACGCCAGCAAAATAAATTTTAAACTCATTTTGAATCATACCTTCCGAGGTTAACCAGGTCTCTTGAGGGTTATTAATGCGCAGGAAATGGTTCATCTGTCTTCTTTGGATAGTAGTCAAGTGGAAAAAACAGGTATTGAGGGTTTATAACCAGGTCCCATTATAAGAGATTCTGTTTATAGTTATCTAGATTAGAAGACCGGGAATTAATCCATCTACCATCCTGACAGACCTCCCAACTAGCATTGATAATTTCTTTGCATTCCTCCGGATTAGTCCAACTAGCTTCGAATTTTTATTTTTATTTTATTTTTATTTTTCCCGCTTGTTGACAATAAGGCCATCCGAGCAAAATCATACATCCATAAGCATCTACAAAATTCTTGTGTTGTGACATGACAAACTTTAGAATCAATCCAATTTTGGCAATAACCCAAAATTTCAATGTTGGCATCTGAAAACCGTACTCGTCACGACCCTCGTGCTCCCATTTAAATAGTATAGCCGCACGGCTATATTCTTTAAATAAATTCAAATATTTATTCGCAATAGTTGTAATTTATTCCTTAATTTTCTGCATTGTCTTTGTATTTATTTATTATTTTTAAACTTTAATTTAAAAATATTTATTTATTTAAAGAGTATTTATACCCATAAGGATTTATATTTATGTTCCTTTGGTAATAGGTACATTAGTTACGAAAAAATGTACATTTAAGTAGAGTATTCAGAAAAAGACAATTAGCACGTTCGGATAGGTCGCAAATGCCTCATGGGATTGATTCGATTTTGGTTTCCAGTGATAAGCTCAATAGTTTTCATCGGCCATATTGTTGAGACGAGCCTCTAGAAAAGTACTATTGCAAACAAATAAAAAATAAATTTTTTTAAGTCTTGCGTGATTAAACTTTGAAAGTTACAGGTGAAGGACTTCTAGCAAAATACAATTACAAAAATAAAATTGAAACTTTTTAAGTCACACACGTGGAAAAGAAACACACAAAAATATAACGCACACGTGTGAATTGCCACCAAAGCAATGAAAATAATTGTGTAAAGAAAAAGTGAGAAAAACAGAAAGAAAATAAAATCAAGGACACATAATTGTGTAATTCTAATTCTATCTCCTCTTTCTATCTCCTAACGGATTAGGTACAGACGCACACACAGACAGAGAGAGACAGAGACAAACCCCAGATCCCTTATTCTCTGTTTGCTTAAACAAACGCCATATCTGACTTCGTTATTTTTTTTTTTTTATATTTCTCTAATACAACGTAGAAGAAGATACCCATCATCACATTCTCTCTCTTCCTCTCAGTCCCCCAACGGTTCTTGATTGAAAGCTAAGTCTTTTCTCTCTCTGATACATACAAAGTGTGAATGCCAAGACAAGAGCAACAACAACACCACAAATAATACTCAGAAGCACTTTCCTTAGAGACCCAGCAAAACCCATATTCCTCTGGTTCCTCAATATACACTCTGCTGCAGACCATCATCGTCTTGACCCTTATTTATATTGCATTCATTTGGGCATTTGGTGATCTGGGTATATGAGCTGAGACAATGTGGGTTGTATTGGAGTGTTTTTAGGTGTTCTTGTGAGGGATATTTTCGGATCTTGATACTCAATGGCGTTGTTCAGAAAGTTCTTCTATAGGAAGCCGCCAGATGGGCTTTTGGAGATCTCTGAAAGGGTTTATGGTATGTTTGTCTTTGGTTCTAATTTCAAAGGAATTTGGTTGATTGAATTCGTTTGATTGCTTGAATTTCACGCGTTGGTGTTATGATGATTTTTCTTTCCACTTTTTGTTCATTTGGGTATACGTGTTTATTGTTAAAATGTTAACTAGAGCAGCTTATTTGTAATTTGGGAAGATGTCTATATTTGGAGATGCATATTTACTAAATGTGTTTTTGGATACCTAAGAATGAACTGAACTGCTTCAGTTTGGCAGAGTCCGCGTGAATGGAACTGGAGATTATTGAACATATTATACTTTGTTGAACTTTGAGGAGGCTCTGTTAATGTCCCCGAAATTTTTTCCTGATAAGAACTAATTTTCAGGTGTTTTACGAAAAATTCAAAATATGTCCAGTGATTTGCTCAGGTTCTACAATTATGATTATGCCGTGAGAAATGAGTAGAAAAAAGTTATAACTGAACCTGTATTATTATGCTGCAGAACAATTTACAATATGTTTACTTACATGTTTGCAATTGTGTTGTCTGCACATGTAGTTTTTGATTGCTGTTTTACCACGGACGTTTTGGAAGAAGATGAATATAAAGTTTACATAGGAGGCATAGCGAGTCAACTCCGTGAACAGTTTCCTGAAGCTTCATTCATGGTCTTTAACTTTCGAGACGGAGAAAATCAAAGCCTGATTTCTAACATATTGTCTGAGTATGACATGACAGTAATGGACTATCCTCGACACTATGAAGGTTGCCCACTTCTCACAATGGAGGCGATACACCACTTCCTGAGATCAAGTGAAAGCTGGCTTTCACTCGGGCAACAAAATGTGCTCCTAATGCATTGTGAACGAGGTGGGTGGTTGGTTTTGGCCTTTATGCTGGCTGCACTCTTGATTTACAGGAAGCAGTACACTGGGGAGCACAAGACATTGGACATCATTTACAAGCAAGCACCTCGGGAACTTTTGCAGTTAATGTCACCACTGAATCCGATGCCTTCACAACTGAGGTATCTTCAGTATATAACAAGAAGAAATGTGGGATCAGAATGGCCTCCACTGGATAGGGCACTTACATTGGACTGCATTATCATAAGATTCATTCCTAACATGGATGGAGAGGGAGGTTGCCGTCCAATATTTAGAATATATGGACAGGATCCTTTTATGGCTGCTGATCGGACTCCTAAAGTTTTGTTCTCAACTCCAAAAAGGAGCAAACTTGTACGGCATTACAAGCAGGTGGTTTAAGTCACTTTACTCTTATTTATATGTTTTTTTTATTCCTTTTGGTAATCTCAGATTGTGGTTCCTCTTCCTGAACAAGGTAGAGCTTTTTCTCGGTCATTTGTTCTCATGATTTCATTTGTCTACATGTTGATGCTTTGCTTCTGGCAGGGATATCAATCAAATTATCTTGGTGAAATTTTGTTTTAATTCTTCACATCTTGGTGCAGGCAGATTGTGAACTAGTTAAAATTGATATACATTGCCATATCCAAGGTGATGTGGTTCTCGAGTGTATTAGTTTGGATAATGATCTGGAACGTGAAGAGATGATGTTTCGCATCATGTTCAATACGGCCTTTATAAGGTCCAATATTTTGATGCTTAATCGTGAGGATATAGACATCTTATGGAATGTTAAGGATCAATTTCCCAAGGATTTCAGAGCAGAGGTACTCGTATATCCCCCTGTGTTCTCTGTTATAGTCAGTGGAATTTCAAATTTCATGTTTAGGAGCAAAATATTATCAATCATTATCATCATTACTGTTATCATTAATCTGACTACTATTCTGATCATCATTTTCATCATTATTATTGTTAATATCTGGATGAAGGTTCTTTTCTCGGAGATGGATGCTGCTACTTCTCTTATATCAATTGATTTGCCTGGTATGGAGGAGAAAGATGGTCTTCCTGTGGAAGCATTTGCAAAAGTTCAGGAGATTTTTAGCAATGTGGATTGGCTAGATCCAAAGACAGATGTAACACTTAATGTCCTCCAGCAGATTGCCTCATCAGGTGCTCTTCAGAAACTGGATAGTGCTTCTGTCCATAACACAGAAACGGGCAGCTTGTTGCTGGAATCAGCTTCTGCAAATCTTAAATCAGAAGTGAAGGCATCAGAAAACAATATCAAGGGTCCCACATCCGTGGCTCAGGGGAAACATGACAGTGCTTCTGCTTATACTGCAGAGACAGGCAACTTGTTGCTAGAATCACTTCCTGCAAAACTTATATCAGAACCAAAGGCAGCAGAAAATAGTATCAAGAGTCCCCAATATAGGCCTCATGGGAAGCAATCTATGTCTAGCTTCGAACCATCCCTAAATGCTAATTTGATTAGAAAAAAGATTGAACCCCAGGAACTGCAAGTTGCTCTCCTACGGCCTGCCCAATCTAAAATCATATCTCAGCGAGCACCTCAAGCCTCCCGGTCTGCACCAGTTTCATATTGTAATTCCTTGCAAGGATCGCCTGTGCCAATATCAAGATATCACAGTGCACCCTCAGCCCTTGGCATTACAGCTCTGTTGCAGGATCACGCTGCATCTAACAGTGTAGAAGAAATCACACATCCTGTGACCATGTCTCCACCTTCCCATGCCTCATCAGCTCCTGATTTAACTGTACCTAAATCTGTGCAGCCTGGTAAGCTGTCTATTCCTGCACCACCACCACTGTCAGCATCACCTTCTTCATTGCAATCTTCTGGGCATGCAACTGTAGAAAAGATTTCCACTGTGGCTACACCTTCTTCTCTGCCACCAGCACTTCCCCAACAAATTTCAAATTCCCCGCTGTCTTTGCTTACCCAACACACTGAAACTACATTACAGGGTAGAGGTCAGTCAGCATTCATTCCTCCTTCCCCTCCTCCACCTCCACCTCCTAATCTATCAGTGACATCTTCACCCTCTGACATTGAGGGCTCAGTTTTAGTCGCTCCTCACCCTCAATGCACTTCTTTTTCAGGGGGATCTCCATCTTCCTCGGTCAAGAACTCTGTTTCAATTCCCCCTCCTCCACCCCCTCCTTTTTCAGGGTCACCTCCGCTCCCTTCCTTCTCGGAGGCTTCTTTATCGTCCTCTCTCAAGAACTCAATTTCAGCTCCCCTTGCTCCTCCCCCTCCCACTTCCTTTCCAGAGGCATCATCTTCTCTCAAGAACACTATCTCAGGCCCCCCTCCCCCTTCCTTCCAGGGAACATCATCCTCTTTCGAGAGCTCAGTTTCAGCCCCCCCTC